ACTTAGAAAAAAAAAAAAAAAAAAAAAAAAAAAAAAAAAACTTACAAAGCTTGCTTGAAGAATTTACAACAGATACTACAAAAAAAAAGAAAAAAAAAAAAGTGGATGTAAACTGAGGTCTCAGTTCCACTTATAACTTTAAAAAAAAATGAAAAAAAAACCATATTTTCTGTTCTCAGCCCCTTCTAAAACTTGAGTCTTAAAAAAAAATATAAAAAAAAAAATATGTAACCTAGGGAAATTAAGGTTTGAGACCTTGCTGAAAAAAAAAGTAAAAAAAAAACTATGTCAAAGAGAATAAAAATGCCGTTGTAATAGTAAATAAAAAAAAATTAAAAAAAAAATTCTACAAATACTTGATTTTTCACATAATGCAGTTTAACAAAAAAAAAAGATAAAAAAAAATGTCAACCACTCTCTGAATGGACAGATCCTGAAGAGTTAGAAAAAAAAAATAAAAAAAAATGATATGTCTCTTACCAGTGGTAGCACCCATAGGTTATAGGCTATAATTTTTTGTGTCTAATATTGAATTAGACAACCAGGAAGTTTTTTGTTTTTTTGTTTTCGTTTTTGTTGTTTTGAGACAGAGTTTTGCTCTGTTGCCCAGGCTAGAACGCAGTGGTGCCATCTCGGTTCACTGCAACCTCCGCCACCTGGATTCAACTGATTCTGCTGCCTCAGCCTCCAAAAAAAAAGGGAAAAAAAATGCACGCTACCAGACCCAGCTAATTTTTGTATTTTTAGAAGAAAAAAAAATTCAAAAAAAAGGCCAGGCTGGTCTCAAATTACTAACCTCAGGTGATCCACCCCTTTCTTGGCCTCCCATAGAGCTGGGATTACAGGCATGAGCCATCCCACCCAGCTGAAGTTTTTTAGCCTCAGTTTTTATCTTCATATTAGCCTAAATTTTTCATTAAATTAAAACACTGTAAAAAAAAATTGAAAAAAAATAGTCTTCAGAATATTCTATGATGGTAGTCACAAAGGCAAAAAAAAAAAAGTAAAAAAAAATGTGGGCCTGATTTCTGTAATTCTGTCTCCAGAATTTATTTAAAAAAAAAGTAAAAAAAAATAAGTTTTCTTTTTTTTTTTTTTTGAGACTGTGTCTTGCTCAAAAAAAAAGGCAAAAAAAAAGTGGCACAATCTTGACTCACTGCAACCTCTGCCTCCCGGGAAAAAAAAACTCAAAAAAAAAGCCTCCCAAGTAGCTGGGATTACAGGTGTGCACGACCACAAAAAAAAAATTTAAAAAAAATTTTAGTAGAGACAGGGTTTCACCATGTTAGCCAAGCTGGTAAAAAAAAACTGAAAAAAAATGATCTGCCTGCTTCGGCCTCCCAAAGTGCTGGGATTACAGAAAAAAAAAACCAAAAAAAACCCTGGAGAGTAATTATTATTATTATTATTTTATTTATTTTAAAAAAAAAAGAAAAAAAAACCCGCTTGTCACCCAGGATGGCGTGCAATGGCGCAATCTTGAAAAAAAAAAACAAAAAAAACCTGGGTTCAAGCGGTCCTCCTTCCTCACCCTCCCAAGTAGCTGGGATTACAGATGTATGACAGCATACCCGGTTAATTTTTTGTATTTTTAGTAGAGACGGGGTTTCACTATGTTGGCCAGGCTGGTCTCAAATTCCTGACCTCAGGTGATCCACCCGCCTTGGCCTCCCAAAGTGCTGGGATTACAGGCATTAGTCACCACACCTGGCTTCAAATTAACTGTAAAAAAAAATACAAAAAAAAGTTATTAATTATCAATGCAAACAACTATGCAATTTATTGTTAAAAAAAAATATAAAAAAAAATTTTGGCTGGGCATGGCAGCTCACACCTGTAATCCCTGCAAAAAAAAAAGTTAAAAAAAATGGGTTACCTGAGGTCAGGAGTTCGAGACCAGCTTGGCCAAAAAAAAAAAACTAAAAAAAAATTGAAAATACAAAAATTAGCTGGGCATACTGGTGGGTGCCAAAAAAAAAAGCAAAAAAAAAGGCTAAGGCAGGAGAATCGCTTGAACCCAGGTGGTGGAACAAAAAAAAAGCTAAAAAAAAACCATTGCACTCCAGTCTGGGCGACGGAGTGAGACTCCGTCAAAAAAAAATTAAAAAAAAAAAAAATAGAATAAATAAATAAAAAGTAAATAAATTTTTTGTAAAAAAAAAAACAAAAAAAACACCATGTCTATTTGTGTGTGAAGCTAATGTTCAATATAAAAAAAAAAAATTAAAAAAAAACTTTGGCAACAGAATATCGCAGCATTTGTATCAACAAATATAAAAAAAAAACAAAAAAAAACTCTTCAAATATTTTGCATATTTCAGCTCACTCAATCATGAATTCTACTGCATTCATAAATATCACTTCAAATTGGCTGATGGTAAAATAAAGGTCAAAGTCAAAATATATCTCATACAAGTCTCACACAGAACTGAAGTCACAGTAGAGAATATGTTATAAGTTCATCATTTGGAAAAATTTAGTTTTTTTTCTATTATAGTTTTTCCTTGAAAAAAAACAGTTGCATGCTATTTAAACATCATGCATGTTATATTGCATGGTATTTAAATATCATGTGTGTTATATATTTGCACAGTGTTTATGACAAATTACTCCCATTCCTTGTAACATGTTTATAATAAGGAAAAAAAAAACAAAAAAAAACCTCCAATTCCTTTAGGTGTTTATGCTGTGCCTTGAGTGTTGTTTCTAGTTCCAGTTTAGTTTGTGCAAGCTCACTCCTCAGTTCAGCCACCACCATTTTCTCAGAACTCAGCTGTTCCTGCAGTTCCGTTGCTCTGTCTTTCATACTGCTGAGCTCCACTTGCATCTCCAGCATTTGAGACTGCTTCTGCTGTATATTATATTCCAAGAGTTCTACACAGAACAAAAAAAAAATTAAAAAAAAAATCAAGCAACTCATATTTGGTTTATAAATATTTGTTGATAAAAAAAAAATTGAAAAAAAAGAGATTACTTCAAAGGAAACATGAAAAATTATAATCCCAAGAAAAAAAAATGCAAAAAAAACATGGTGGCTCATACCTGTAATCCCAGCACTTTGTGAGGCTAAAAAAAAAGGGAAAAAAAATTAAGGCCAGGAGTTCAAGACCAGCCTAGGCAACATGGTGAAAAAAAAAATCTAAAAAAAATACAAAAATCAGCTGGGTGTGCTGGCATGTGCCTGTAGTCCCATCTACTCAGAAGGCTGAGGTGGGAGGACTGCTTGAGCTCAGGAGGTGGAGGTTGCAAGGAAAAAAAAACATAAAAAAAAACTCCAGCCTCGGTGACAGAGTGAGACCCTGTCTCAAAAAAAAAAAAAAAAAGAAAAAAAAATATATAAAAATAAATTTCAGGCATGTTTTCCTCACAGTGTTATTGGCCAAGATTTCAGAACTATAAATACATAAGGATAAAAGTTTAACACATTAATGGATGCAAGATTTAAAATTTAAAAAAAACTTTAAATGGAACTCATATTTGTACATTCAGAATTTCAAAAAAAAACTTAAAAAAAATCCAAAGATTGTTTGATACCCACACAAAGTACTTGCCACACAAAAAAAAAGCAAAAAAAAACCAAGTAACTGACTACAATGATGAGCACTGCTTATTTCTTTAAAAAAAAACCCAAAAAAAAAGAGTTCCTCGGAACTTTAATATGACTCTGTTCCCAGAAGTAAAAAAAAAAAAAAAAAAAATGGATACTGTCCTTTTATCCATTAAAGGCCAACCAAACTCTAAAAAAAAATTTAAAAAAAAAAAAACAAACTGAAAAATTTAAATCCCTCAGCATGTTAAATAAAAAAAAAAAAAAAAAAAATATAAAATATGTATCAGGATTCCTTTTTTTTTGAAAAATATAAAAAAAAATACAAAAAAAAATTGAAAAGGTCTGGAGACATATTTACCCAGCTGTTAGGTAAAAAAAAAAGGAAAAAAAAAATTCAAGGAATGATTTTCACTCTATTCTTTTCTGTATTCCAAAAAAAAAATGTAAAAAAAAACTACTCTAATAAGAAAAGGATTTTTAACTTAAAAAATACTAAAAAAAAACAAAAAAAAAAATTACAATTCATATTAGTGATGTTAGGAGACAGAAATAACAAAAAAAAAAGATAAAAAAAAATCATGTTTAATTAAGGCTTCTAAAAACTTTAGAGGTTAAGAAAAAAAAAAAAAAAAAAAATGTGACATTAATCAAGCTTTCAATGGTGTTCTATTTAACCTAAAAAAAAAAATAAAAAAAAATCTCTAAAAGGCATCTTCAATTAAGCCTACATTTAAAGTGAAAAAAAAATCTAAAAAAAACTCTTTTTTCTGAAGTAATTTTAACTTGCTTTCATTTTTTTAAAAAAAAAAAAAAAAAAAATAAGAATGCTTCAGCTTTTATTTTTTTGAGACACTCTTGCCAAAAAAAAAAGGAAAAAAAACAATGGTGCAATCCTGACTCACTGCAACCTCCACCTCCCGGGTTGAAACGATTCTCCTGCCTCAACCTCCCCAGTAGCTGCGATTACAGGCACCCACCACCATGCCCAGCTAATTTTTGTATTTTCAGTAGAGACAGGGTTTCACCATGTTGGACAGGCTGGTAAAAAAAAACTGAAAAAAAAATCCTTCCGCCTTGGCTTCCCAAAGTGCTGGGATTACAGGCGTGAACCACTGTGCCCAGCCTGCTTCAGCTTTTTAATGACCAATGTGAGACCATGCTGTGAAAAAAAAAATTTAAAAAAAAATACATGTTTCTACCAGTACATGAAACAAAATTGCTGAACACACAGCCATGTGTCCTCAGTGGAGATGATGAAAATTAGATTTCACTTTACTTTCTAATGATAAAAAAAAATAGAAAAAAAAAAAAGATCAGATACTCTTATCAAAAAGTACCTAAACGAGCAAAAAAAAAAAATAAAAAAAAAACTAGCCAATTACCATACGCAAAAGGACTAAACACTTCAGAAAAAAAAAAACAAAAAAAAAAAACCACAATAAAAATCCACTGCACACCCAGCAGATTGGCAAAAAAAAACTGAAAAAAAAAGCTGTTGGCAAAGATGTGAAGCAACCTAACTCTCATATACAAAAAAAAAGTGAAAAAAAAAATATGACCATGAAGGAAAATCGTTTGAAGTTACCTAAGATAAAAAAAAAATGAAAAAAAAATTCTACTCTTAGTTATATACTGAGAAGAAGAATGCACATATGTAGCAGAAACACTATACAACAATGTTTATAATAGCATTGATAGCTAAACAGCTAAAAAGAAAAAAAAATCCAAAAAAAAATATTAATAGAATGGATATATAAATTTTGGAATATCTATACAAAAAAAAATTTAAAAAAAATTTTTTTGAGACGGAGTCTTGCTCTGTCACCCAGGCTGGAGAAAAAAAAAGCGAAAAAAAATCACTGCAACCTCCACTTTCTGGGTTCAAGCAATTCTCTGCAAAAAAAAACTGAAAAAAAAGTATTACAGGCGCCTGCCACCATGCCTGGCTACTTTTTGTAAAAAAAAAAGAGAAAAAAAATCACCACCTTGGCCAGGCAGGTCTTGAACTCCTGACCTCGTGATCCACCCATGTCGGCCTCCCAAAGTGCTGGGATTACAGGTGTGAGCCACTGCTCCTGGCAAAAAAAAAGGTAAAAAAAATATGGAGTAACAAGGATGAATCAACTAGAGATAAATGCAGTAAAAAAAAAGAAAAAAAAAATACTAATTTGGAAGAATGCGGTAACTTGAAAAATGCAGTAAAAAAAAAAAATGAAAAAAAAATGTTACAGAGAGGTGAAAGAAACAAGATAAAAAACACATACAGATTGATAAAGTTCAAGAACAGGAAAAACTTGAAACTTATATGTTTTAGGAATATATAAAAAAAAAAAAAAAAAAAAAAAAAATCAGAACTATGATTACCTCTAAGTTACTCAGAGGAGCAAAAAAAAAGGAAAAAAAAATTTCAGGATACTGGTTATATTCATATGGGTGATGTTTCCATAAAAAAAAATTTAAAAAAAAGTCATAATGCATATTTGCAATTTGTAATTTTCTGTATGTTAAAAAAAAAAATTAAAAAAAAAGGATTAAAAAAGAATTAGTTACATGCATGGTGGATTTTCCAAAAAAAAATATAAAAAAAATTATGACTGGAAAGACTGTTTTCTTAACATACAGCTCTAAAAAAAAAAAAAAGAAAAAAAACAATGGGCTTAACCTGATTAGGGGAATAGCAGTTTATTTTAAAAAAAAAATAGAAAAAAAAAACCAATTAGATCCTAGAGTAATTAATATAGATTGTATCCTAAAAAAAAAGAGAAAAAAAAGAAAATGTGACTGAGAAAATATGTTTTAACTTAATAATAATAAAAAAAAAAACAAAAAAAAATCTTTTCACCTATTTATGTAACCATATGAGCTTGTCATACAAAAAAAAATGGAAAAAAAACTCATTCTCTTGTTCTCTTTTCAGAGTAATTTTTCTGCCATAAAAAAAAACATAAAAAAAATGAATTTCAGATAACAAACTCCTTCTATCTGCTTTCTGCAGAAAAAAAAAAGCAAAAAAAAATTCAACACCCTGTAACAAAGGAAGGTAAACATCAAGTGACAAAAAAAAAAAAAAAAAAAAAATTAACAACCAAGAAATCTGAAGAAGAATGAATGGAACACAAAAAAAAAAATAAAAAAAATAAAAAATTTTTCTTATTTTTCCTTTCCAAAATGTATGAGGAAAAAAAAAAGAAAAAAAAACCTTTACCTCTAAATACAAGACTGTATTTCCTTAAAACAAGAACATTCTTTACATACATAACTACAATTAGCGAAAGTAGAATTAACATTACAATACTATTAAAAAAAAAACAGAAAAAAAACAAATTTTGTGAAATGTGCTTCACAGCAAAAAGAAAAAAAGAAAAAAAAATAAAAAAAAAATTGTCTTTCATGACTTTGAATTTTTGAAGACTACAGGCTATAAAAAAAAACGTAAAAAAAATTTAAAACACTTTTTATTTTGATTAATTTAAGCTAAAGTTCAAAAAAAAATGGAAAAAAAACTTTTCCCAGTGATACTATCTTGCATTACCATAGTATATTAAAAAAAAAAGGAAAAAAAAATTAGTACAATACTAAACTATAGGGCTTATTCAGATTTCATTAAAAAAAAAATGAAAAAAAAAATTTTCCTGGTGTGTAATTCTACAAAATTTGATCACAGGTAAAAAAAAATTCAAAAAAAAACCACTACCATCAGAATACCAACTGTTCTATTACCACAAAGAAAAAAAAATATAAAAAAAATCTCTCCCTAACCCTAACCCCTGTCAACCACTGATCTTTATAAAAAAAAATTTAAAAAAAAAAGAGCATTATATAGCATACAAGTGGTTGCAGCCATAAATAAAAAAAAAATTTAAAAAAAATGAGTAATATTTCATTGTATGGATGTACCACAGTTTGTCCAAAAAAAAAACTGAAAAAAAACATTTAGGATGTTTCCAGTTTTTGGCTATTGCCCTCCCATTAAAAAAAAATACAAAAAAAATATAAGACAGTTTCTTTTCTTCCTCACCAGTACTTGGTGTCAAAAAAAAATATAAAAAAAAATGTAGTGTTCTCAATTTGTTTTGGTCTGATATTTCCCCAAAAAAAAAAAATGAAAAAAAATTTGACAAAAATACTGTGAAAGTGGCACTGTGCCCTTCATAAAAAAAAAAGTAAAAAAAAAATTCCGTTACTGGTAATAGTCATTCTGATCACTTGGTTAAGGTGGTATCTGCAAGGTTTCTCCACTGCAAAGTTACTGGTTTTCCCTGGTAATTAAAGAATAAAAAAAAAAGATAAAAAAAAAGATTATGTAAATACAGTTTCTTATCAAACCTTTTCACAATAATTTTAGCACCCATTGCAAACTATTACTTGAATAGTGTTTAATAAAGAGTGATTTAATAATATAGTGTTTAATAAAGGGTAATTTCCTTTCATTGTTCCTTCTACATTTACTAGCTGTCATTCCATGGTAATACTATTTATTTATATATTTATATATTTATTTATTTATATCAGTATGGTCTCATGAGTTCTTATTTCACTCTTTGGCTTATAATTTGTTACTATCATTTAGTATAATATTTAAATTTTTCTAGAATTTGGCCAGTTGGAGCTCCTTCAAGCTGGCTTCTGTGACCTTTCAAAAAAAAATCTAAAAAAAATGAACAATTCCTTACTTGCCAGCAAAACAAGATGTTCCAGGAAAAAAAAATACAAAAAAAAATCCATCCCTAAAATCACCAGTTCTGCAGGAAGTCCTAGTTAAAAAAAAAGGAAAAAAAAATAAAAAACAAGATCTGGGTGTTAAGTATTATAGTAGATTTTAAAAAAAAAATTAAAAAAAATTACTAGTAATAGGTCTTTGGAGGTTTTCTGTTTCTTAATGAAAAAAAAATCAAAAAAAAATTTTTTTTTTTTTAGGAAATCTGTCCATTTCACCCAGGTGTTTGTTTATTCTCATGAAATTATTCATAATATTCTATCATTTTTATATCTCAACTATATCTTAAAAAAAAACCTAAAAAAAAAAATGTGTGCTTTATCATTTTGCTTAACCAATTCTTCAGAAAAAAAAAAATGTAAAAAAAATAACATTTTATCTTATTGTAACAATGTATCTATTGACGTCTAAAAAAAAATTAAAAAAAAACCTCATTATTCTGATTCCATATTTGCAGATTTGCCTTCTCAAAAAAAAAAATTAAAAAAAACCAAATTCATTGTTGTGTTGCTTTCATGGTCTTTCACAGAAAAAAAAAAAGCAAAAAAAAATTTAAATGGTCCAATGTGGATGTCCCCAGCTAAAGTCAAATAAAAAAAAAACAAAAAAAAAAGTGATGTTTCAAATTTTTGTGCTTTTTATTTGTGATTTCACTGTTTAGAATGGCCCCCAAAAGTAGTACTGAAGTGCTTTATGGTGTTCCTAAGTACGAGAAAAAAAAAATGTAAAAAAAAGAGAAAATATATGTGTCAGACAAGTTTTTTTCAGGCATGAGTTATAATGCTGTTGGTGGTGTTTAAGGTTAATCAATCAATAATATACAATAAATAAGATGTAAAAAAAAAGAAAAAAAAAAAGACAAAGTTATGTACTGATTGATGAAAATGTTGTGACCAAAAAAAAAAAGGAAAAAAAAATTGTATTTCCCTTAGAAGCAATGACTGTTCAATGTTCAGAGAAAAAAAAAAGAAAAAAAAAAGTGCAAATAATGAGAATTTACTCTCTCAAATTAGTTTGGGAAAAAAAAATTGAAAAAAAACTAATTTCCTAGGTTAGAAAATCAGCTCTTTAACTTTCAGTAAAAAAAAATTTAAAAAAAATTAAAACAGTTACAATAATTTTTTAAAAAATATTCATAGTGAAAAAAAAAAAAAAAAAAAACTTCATACTTAAATTAAGACTCTAAAATTAATAGTCATTTCAAAAAAAAAATTAAAAAAAAGTTTAAAATGAAGTTTCATTATACCTGTTCTTGTATTCTCTAAAAAAAAAAGTAAAAAAAACCAACTGCATCTGTAGTACCTAGAGCTGTCAGCTCCGTCCGAAAAAAAAATAGAAAAAAAATACGCTCTTCTAAGAAAACTTGTTGAAGGGCAAGCAGTAGTAAAAAAAAACAGAAAAAAAAGCTCTCATGAGATTGAGAACTATCATAAACCTAGCAAAGTAAAAAAAAAAAAAAAAAAAAATCAAATAAGCATATTTAAAAAACATTCTAAAAATATTAATCAAAAAAAAAAAAAAAAAAAAAGTCTAGGAACATGTGTACTTCTTTTCTTTTTTTTTTCTTTAAAAAAAAAAGTAAAAAAAAGTTGCTCAGGCTGGAGTACAGTGGCACGATCTCGGCTCACTAAAAAAAAAACCAAAAAAAATTAAGTGATTCTCCTGCCTCAGTCTCCCGAGTAGCTGGGATAAAAAAAAACCAAAAAAAAACCTGGCTAATTTTTGTATTTTCAGTAGAGATGGGTTTCAACAAAAAAAAAAGGAAAAAAAAGAACTCCTGACCTCAAGTGATCCGCCCACCTCGGCCTCCCAAAAAAAAAAGATAAAAAAAATGAGGCACTGTTCCTGGCAGAGTTTCAAGTGTGAAAATATAAAAAAAAAATCAAAAAAAAATATGTATAAAAGATAATTTATAATGTATTATTATTGTTAAAAAAAAAAAAAAAAAAAAAAAGATGCGTAGTATTCTTTGGGTACCTCAGCTTCTCTTTGCAGTTGCATTTTGGTAATTAAATCCTTTAGAGATGAGATTGTACTGAGGTAAGCTTTTCTCTCTTCTAGCCAAGATTCTGAAATCTGCTGAATAGAATGGTCCTCTCCATCATTATAGGGAGACTAAAAAAAAAAAAAAAAAAAAATGCCTTCATTATGGACAGCTCTCAGTAATCCCTAGAAACCAAAAAAAAAAAGAAAAAAAAATGACAACTTCTTCACAGACTGAAAAATTAGACATACAAAGAAAAAAAAATTTAAAAAAAAATAGCTTGCAGAGAGAAAACTCCAGCTCAACATTACTGAATAAAAAAAAACTGAAAAAAAATAAGCCAACTCCAGCAGATGGTCTATGACTTTCCATAGCTCAAAAAAAAAAGTAAAAAAAATTTGGCTAATGTACTCTTCCTAGGTTTACTGATAAGCCACTGATTTGACCAAAATAAATACATGGGATATAACTTCTACTCTTTAAGATTACTTTAAAAATTAAAAAAAAAGAAAAAAAAAAGAATAAGAATTATTAAGAAAAAAGTCTTCATACATATCATCAAAAAAAAACTTAAAAAAAAATCTGTGAAATACGGAAATAAAATAGATCTCTCAGGTTCCTAAAAAAAAAGCAAAAAAAAATTCAGAAACGATCCCACCACATAACTTCTAATGAAGTGCTAAAAAAAAAATAGAAAAAAAACTGGCTGAGTTAATAAAAGGTATCTATCTTTTAGTACCTTTAAAAAAAAAGGAAAAAAAAATGTTGCACTTTCACTTTCTTCTCCTCGGCCTTCTGATGCTGAAAAAAAAACTTAAAAAAAAGTAAGATAAATTCCCTGACCCCAGTCTGATCCAGAATCTAAAAAAAAAAAAATAAAAAAAAGTTTTAAAAAAAAAAAAATCAACCCCCATGTCCCCAAAAAAAAAAAAAAACTTAAAAAAAAACTACAAACATTACAGATATTTATAAAACTTACCACTGGAGAAAAAAAAACTAAAAAAAAAAGCATCAGAATGTGTTAACTCAGGAATTGCGGATCCCTAATAAAAAAAAACAAAAAAAAAAACATATATTTTTTGCTTTAATAAAAATAGAATACGCTGAATAAAAAAAAAGGTAAAAAAAACTGTAATCAAATCTGTCACACCTTTCATAATAAATGAAACTAAAAAAAAATTTAAAAAAAAAGTCTGTTTCTTCATGAATATTACCAAAAGAAGAGATATTCAAAAAAAAAGGAAAAAAAAAATGTTCCAAGTCCATAAAGGAACATCATATATTATTTAACTAAAAAAAAAGGAAAAAAAAAAAAAATTTTAAAACTAAAACCTCTTTAAATTTAAAAAAGTTAAAAAAAAATAAAAAAAAAATAGTATCGTAAGGAAGAGACTGCCCTAAGTTTTCTCATTTTAAAAAAAAAGCAAAAAAAAATGGAACCAACCCAAATGCCCATCAGTGATAAACTAGATAAAAAAAAAAAAGCAAAAAAAAACCATGGAATACTATGCAGCCATAAAAAAGGATGAGTTCATGAAAAAAAAAGGGAAAAAAAAGAAGCTGGAAACCATCATTCTCAGCAGACTAACACAAGAACAAAAAAAAAAACAAAAAAAATTCTCACTCATAAGTGGGAGTTAAACAATGAGAACACATGGAAAAAAAAAGGGAAAAAAAACACACCAGGGCCTGTCGGGGCATGGGGGCTAGGGGAGGGATAAAAAAAAAAGAAAAAAAAAATGTAGACGACGGGTTGATGGGTGCAGCAAACCACCATGGCAAAAAAAAACATAAAAAAAAAACCTGCACATTCTGCACGTGTATCTCAGAACTTAAAATTTAAAAAAAAAAATAAAAAAAAAGGAGTTAAAAACTTGCCTTGATAATACACCTACTTAGAAAAAAAAAAAACCTAAAAAAAATGCATTTTAGTTTGTCATCTACAAAATGAATTAATTTAAATAAAAAAAAATTTAAAAAAAAAGCACACAATGTTGAAGAACAATATTATAGAAACCAAATACAAAAAAAAATCTAAAAAAAAGTATCACTGCCTTCAAGGTACCACATTCCTCTTTCAGTAACAAAAAAAAAACAAAAAAAAACCTCTTTAAGGTTTCAGTTTCTGAAATATGTCTGGATTCCATGTCCAAAATTTCAGCAGCATGTAGTTCTTGCATCTTCTCAATTTTTTCAGTAAACTGACTAAAAAAAAAAGTAAAAAAAACTGAGGAACATTCACTCTGTAAATCAATTTGTATTCCTGCAAAAAAAAAAAGAAAAAAAAAAGTCTGATTGCTGCTATTGACCTTCAGAGCCCCATCTGTCTAAAAAAAAATGCAAAAAAAAAGTTTTACAGGAAGTGGCTCGAACATGCAGGCCTTTTTGTTAAAAAAAAACGCAAAAAAAACTTCTTTTTCTAAAATGGACAATTTCTCTTTTGCCTCTGCGAAAAAAAAACTAAAAAAAAATAAGTCTTTTTGAAGAGATGCCATATTTGTTTCTTTTATCTAAAAAAAAATGAAAAAAAAAGTAGGGCATTCAGTTCAAATCTTTCCATATTAAATGCAGAAAAAAAAAAAGGTAAAAAAAATGTAATTCATGATTATATGTTCATTTTCCTCAGAGTAGTAGAAAAAAAAATTTAAAAAAAATCATAGTTTACATATATATATTTGTATGTATGTATGGTCATAAAAAAAAATAAAAAAAAAATAATTTTATCAGCTTCTACTTTTGGTTCTCATGGGATACACAAAAAAAAATAAAAAAAAAATACTCCTTCATTAACAGAATGGAAATAAAAAGTATCCTCCTAAAAAAAAATTCAAAAAAAACCAAGCAAGAAGATGTTGGTAAAGAAATTTACAACAATGAAAAAAAAAAACAAAAAAAAAAAATACTTTTTATCTAGTTTTTAAGTTATGGAGCTTGATTTGAAAAAAAAAAGTAAAAAAAATGAAATGCAATTAAGATAGGTAGAAATGAGTGAATTAGGAGAAAAAAAAATTAAAAAAAAAAAAGCTCTCCTTGAAGTTTTTCAGTCTTTTCTTTATAACCGAAAAAAAAAGCTAAAAAAAACACTGATTCAGCTCTAAGAGCCTCGAGTTCATTTAAAAATCAAAAAAAAACATAAAAAAAAAATAGCTCAGTAGTTGTCTGAATGACAGCGGAAAACATAAGAAAAAAAAACTTAAAAAAAAATACAGCTAAATTCAAGGCACTTATACATTCTAATAAAACTAAAAAAAAAATGAAAAAAAACAGATAAAAGGAGTTGCAACAAATCAATGCTCTTTCCAAAAAAAAAAAAACTTAAAAAAAACCATCATCTTATATTCTTGAGATAATGATTTTCTTCTTGAGAAAAAAAAAATTAAAAAAAAATAAAAGGCAAATAATGTCATTCATATACATCCGAAAAATTAAAAAAAAATTAAAAAAAAAATTCTTTATTACCATTCAAAAAGTTCTTCATATTTATAGCACTTTTGTCAAAAGAAACCAAGTGTAACTAAGATATTTCTTAGAACTCATACATGGAAAGTAAAAAAAAAATAGAAAAAAAATGATGGCTCATGCCTGTAATCCCAGCACTTTGAGAGGCTGAAAAAAAAAAATCAAAAAAAATCAGGAGTTCGAGGCCAGTCTACTGGCCTCAACATGGCAAAAAAAAAAAAACAAAAAAAAAAAAAATTAGCCAGGTGTGGTAGTGCATGCCTGTAGTCCCAGCTGCTCAGGAGGGAGAGGTTGCAGTGAGTCAAACCGTGCCACTACACTTCAGCCTGGGCAACAGAGTAAGACTCTGTCTCCAAAAAAAAAAAGAAAGTTATATTACTATTTTAATTATTTATAACTTAGAGTAATTTAGTTCCAATGAAGGAGGAAAAAGCCAGGTAATTATTATTCTTTGCAAAATACATTATATAATTAAATAATTGTGATTTATCAGTTAATCTCCTGGTGTTTAGAGAAGACTGAAGTTCTGCTACTCAAAGTTATAAATTTATAAGGTGAGAATTTGGAGGGAAAAAAAGCTCTTATCCTATCTATAATAGAGAACTATGATTTCAGATCTTCACATAAGTAAACTTACAGAGGTCAACTATGCATTTTTACTTAAAACAGATGAAATCTATTATCAGGTATAAAATTTGTAAAAGTTGGCCGGGCGTGGTGGCTAACACCTGTAATCCTAGCACTTTGGGAGGCTGAGGCAGGCGGATCAGTTGAGGCCAGGAATTTGAGACCAGCCTGGCTAACATGCAGAAACTTCGTCTCAAAAAAAAATACAAAAAAAATTTAGCCTGGTGTGGTGTGGCATGTCTGTAATCCCAGCCACCTGGGAGGCTGAGGCAGGAGAATTGCTGGAAACCCAGGAGGTGGAGGCTGCAGTGAGCTGATGTCACACCACTGCACTCCAGCCTGGGCAACAGAGCAAGACTCTGTCTCAAGAAAAAAAAAAAAAAATTTGTAAAATATGTCACCCACACATTAATTCAGTAGATGTTATTAAATAATAGATTTTTTCTGTAAAGTCTGCATTCTTTGTCAATCCTAATATATTTTCATACTTATTATTACTTAAAAGGAATGATAACATAACATGCATATTAGAAGGAAATTAAGAAAAAAATCCCCACAAGTCCTAGAGGACATTTGCTAAAGTTAATGTTTCTTAGTTTCTTCTGACTGCTCCATTTAATGATGATGTTCATGAAATAAACATCACATTTGAAGACTACAAAATACAGTCTGTATCCATTATTTTAGGGATAACAATATGACTACACAATGTTAAGTTAAATTTGGCCTGAGGCTGTCTCTGTATCTTGAGTTCCTATGTAAGGAATTGCAACCTAACTTAGGAGTACGTAAACCTAACTTAGGAGTACGTAAACGGAAAACATTATCTTAGGAGTATAATAAACAGCTACTCTTAGTGAATGACAAGCAGTCAACTGAGCAGACCGGGTCCAAATAAGGCAAACACCTAGCTGTAACTGTACTTTATTTGGTAGTTCTGTCTATAAATATTCACCGGCCACTGTTGCACAAAAGAGATTCGTGAAACTCCTCTGGTTCTGAGTGCTACCCAATTCATGAATCCTTTTTTGTTCAAATAAACTCTCGTAAATTTAGTTTGTCTAGTTTTTCTTTTTCTTTTCTTTTTTTTTTTTGAGATGGAGTCTTGCTCTGTTGCCCAGGCTGGAGTGCAGTGGCGTGATCTTGGCTCATGCAAGCTCTGCCTCCTGGGTTCACGCCATTCTCCTGCCTCAGCCTCCCAAGTAACTGTGACTACAGGTGCCCATCACCATGCCCGGCTAATTTTTTGTATTTTTAGTAGAGATGGGGTTTCACCGTGTTAGCCAGGATGGTCTCGCTCTCCTGACCTGGTGATCCACCCACCTCTGCCTCCCAAAGTGCTGGGATTACAGGCGTGAGCCACCGCACCCAGCCTAGTTTTTCTTTTAACAACAGCGTATTTTTTATAAGTGGTATATTTTTATAAAAATCCTTTTGTATAAACTGCTAGATGTAAACAGAACACCATATTCAGTAAATTAGCAATTAACTTAGGAGTACTTAAGTGAAAATAATCAAATACAAAACCAACCTTGAGAACTTCAAAATCTTGAGGGCTTCTTTTCCTTTCTTTCCCTCCCTGTTTTTTCTCACTGCCCTCCAATAGCTTCTGTAGTTCTAGCAGCTTCTTTTCTTTTTCTAAAACATTTTTTTCTGCAATTTCTACTTGTTCTTTTCCTAAAATCAAACTAGTATGCATTTCAACAAGCTGGCTTTCTAATTCTGATATTCTCAAGGTTAATGCTGATATATTTGACCCTGACTCATCTTCTCTTAGTTGATTTAAATTCTGAATATTTGTTCTTTCAGGTTCTGATGAAATTGTCTGATTATCTTGACAGAACTTTGCATATTCCTGAACTGCCTCAAGTTGGATTTGACTCACAAGAGCAGCAGCCACTTTTTCTTCAAGTATTTTCTGTAGATTTAGAATCTTCTTTTGAAGCATTTCTATTTCAGACTGGCCTTGTTCTTGCATGTCTTTTATTTGTTTATAACACTGGGTAAGTTCTAAGTCCTTTGCACTAACAGTGCTCTCAAGTTGTAGCAACCTTGTTTCCAAATTATTTATGGAACCTTTGCCATTTTCTTCAAAAGATTTGAGGTATGTCTGATTTTCTAAGGATTTAAGAGCATCCTCTGTAAGGACTACTTCCAGTTCAGGTTTGTCTTTGCTCAGATCATCTATGGCCATGTTAACACTTTTCCCTGGTATACTTTGAATCTTTTCCATACTTTCACGTTCTCTCTTTAAGCTGGATAATTCCTGTGTTAGCTGATTCATTTTAAAATTGGTTTCTTTAAGTATATTTTTCGTGAAGGTCATTTCTTCATTAGTGGTTTCTACTTGCTGTTCCAAGGCCAGCTTTTCAGCTATAACCATATCCAATTGATGTTTTAAACTGTCTGCTTCTTCTGGGAGGGAATGAGCATCCACTAGTGTCTTCTGTCCAATATTTGCCAATTCCTGTTGAAGTTTTTCAATCACTTCATTGAGCTGCTCTATTTCTTCTTCTCTATTTCTCTTCACACATTCTTGATCACTCATCAAACATTCTATTTGGGTTTCAAGATCCCTTATCAGTTCATTTTTTTCTTCAATAACCTATTAATGAAAAAGGTAACATACATAATATATATGTATTTATATTTTGAAAATTTTACTTTATTTTAGGGCAAAGAGATGATCACACACAAAAATAATATACTACTTCTCAGACATACTACCTTAATTTCATTATCGACCAATATCTGCCCCATCATATCAAACAAGGCCCAGAAAGTTCTGTTAAGTATAAAGTAATATAAGCTTTTAGTTGCTGATTCCCTATTAGGAAAATAGTCAATATCAATACTTCTTAATGGAAAAGGATGAAGTAAGGAAATAAAGGCTACAACCGATGGGACCAAAGGTAATTACCTTACTTAACTCATATTAAATATTAGAATTTATAATAGATTTGGTTAGAATAATATAATAAAATCTAAGTCACAGAGTCTTTCTGAAAAACATTAAAATCCTATGACAATATTAGGAGGGGAGAAAAATACATATAAATTATTAAGCCAATGTGTCTTTGCTTTTTTTTTTTTTTTTTTTTTTTTTGAGACAGGGTCTCACTCTGTCACTCAGGCTGGAGTGCAGTGGCATGATCATGGCTCACGGCAGCTGGGACTACAGGTGGTATGCCACCATGTCCAGTTAATTTTCATATTTTTTGTAGAGACAAAGTTTCACCATGTTGCCCAGGCTGGTCTTGAACTCCTGGGCCCAAGCAATCCGCCCACCTAGGCTTCCTAAAGTATAAAGATTACAGGTGTGAGCCACTGTGCCTGGCCACCAACGTATCTTAATAAATTAAAATTAATGAATTAAAAGAGAAGTGGGCCAGGTGTGGTGGTTCATGCCTGTAATCCCAGCACTTTGGGAGGCTGAGGTGGGTGGATCACCTGACATCAGGAGTTAGAGATAAGCCTGGTCAACATGGTGAAACCCCATCTCTATTAAAAATACAAAAATTAGCCAGGTGGGGTGGTGGGTGCCTGTAATCCCAGCTACTCGGGAGGCTGAGGCAGGAGAATCGCTTGAACCCAGGAGGCGGAGGTTGTAGTGAGTCGAGGTTGTGCCATTGGACTTCAGCCTGGGCGACAGAGTGAGACTCCGTCTCAAAATAAATGAAATAGAATAAAATAAAATTGGTTTGTTTTTTAAATTCAATGGAGAGCAACATTATAACCATTTAGCCCTTTAAAACTCTGGCTCATGTTAATTTCATAATCAATTTTAAATGAGTATACCTTGTTATCTGTCGTAATTTTAAGTTGCTGCTGGAGTTTCATAATTTGTTCATTTAATTGGTCAATTTCTACCTCTTTTTCCTGTATTATTTGGGCAAATTTCCCAAATAGTACATGTTGGTCTTGAGTAGACACAGCATCAGATTCCTTTATGGCAAGTCCCAGTTTCTCCATGTCATCCTAGGAACAAAAATAATTATCACAGTTGGAATAATCATTACACATCATTTTCAGAACATAATTACAAAAGAAAACAGAGCCTATAACGTACAAATGAATACAATCAGAGATACCATATGGTCATTGTAAATCAATAATTCTTAAACTATTTTGATAAATGATCCCAAAATTTTCACTTATGATGAATTCAAATGTTCAGGTTGGGCTGAAAATAAGTTCTATGCAAATGTGTCTGCCTGTTAATGTCCATCTGTTGAGTATTATTTAACAGCTGGATTTACCAAATGCTTAATAAAGCAATATAGGGACCAGGTGTGGGGCTCACGCCTGTAATCCCAGCACTTTGGGAGGCCAAGGCAGGCAGATCATGAGGTCAGGAGATCAAGAGTGTCCTGGCTAACACGGAGAAACCCCATCTCTATTGAAAATTCAAAAATTAGCCGGGCATGGTGGCACATGCCTGTAGTCCCAGTTACTCAGGAGGCTGAGGCAGGAGAATCGCTTGAACCTGGGAGGCAGAGCTTGCAATGAGCCGAGATCACACCATTGCACTCCAGCCTGGGTAACAGAGTGAGACTCAGTCTCAAAAAAATAATAATAATAATAATAAAGCAATATAGGACTGAAACTATGACTTATTTACAGATAAAAGTTTTTCTAAACTAATTACCTTAAATAATTTGTTTTCTTGTTCAAGTTCTTGTAGGCGGGTAGTAGATTCCTTTTTCTGTATTTCTAATTGCATATGTAATTGTTGAACTTCTTCATTCTTATTTTCCAGTTCTTCTCTAAACTGTTCTAATTGCTCTTCTAAGTTTGTAATCTTTAATATCAAAATTATCAAAAGAGAAAAGATGTTTATACAAATGTTTATTTATCAAGATAAAATGAAGAGTGTTATATTTGCTTTACAAAGTATGCATGCTTAAAACATGAGTCATAGGAATAAAAGAATGTGGTTTTTCTAAGCCAGGTATAACCTGTGTTACCTGTGTGGTTCCTAGACATGCTCAAACTGGCCACCCTTAAACTATCCTATGTAAAGCAGAGAGGAAACCTTCTGAGAAAGGATAAAAGGAGCCATTTCCTATGTAAGTATCTTCTCCTGAAGCAGAAAGGAGTCATAGGAGGAAGGGAAAGAATCCACATATTAAATCTTAGTTTATGTTACATTTATTTGCTATCAAAAGGCCTAGAAAAGCTGTAGAATTGTTTTGTTAGCCACCATATAAGACTGAATGTAGTCCAAAAATATCTAATTAACTCACTAAAAGGCCTGGCTGCCATGTGGCTTGTTAAGCAGAAGGAAGCCAAGATAGAAACTAAGACCAAGAGATCCTTAGGTCTGATTTACAAAAACCTTAGAGAAAATGAATTACACGATTCAGGAGAAAATTAGATAGCTCCTATAGGTAGGACAACAGAAATTTATTTAATCATTTTGAGGATGGATTATCAATAATGGTAAAGCAACTGCTTTTTGATGGTTAGAGACTGAAATGAATGATGAATATTAAGAATTAGTTATTTGTAGGGGAAAGAGAGAGATCAGACTGTTACTGTGTCTATGTAGAAAGAAGAAGACAAAAGAAACTCCATTTTGTTCTGTACTAAGGAAAATTCTTCTGCCTTGAGATGCTGTTAATCTGTAACGCTAGCCCCAACCCTGTGCTTGCAGAAGCATGTGCTGTGTTGACTCAAGGTTTAATGGATTTAGGGCTGTGCAGGATGTGCTTTGTTAAAAATGTGTTTGCAGGCAGTATGCTTGGTAAAACTCATCGCCATTCTCCAGTCTCGAGTACCCAGGGACAAAATGCACTGCGGAAAGCTGCAGGGACCTCTGCCCAAGAAAGCCTGGGTATTGTCCAAGGTTTCTCCCCACTGAGACAGCCGGAGATACAGCCTTGTGGGAAGGGAAAGACCTGATGATTCCCCAGCCCGACACCCATGAAGGGTCTGTGCTGAAGAGGATTAGTGAAAGAGGAAGGCCTCTTTGCAGTTGAGATAAGAGGAAGGCATCTGTCTCCTGCTTGTCCCTGGGAATGGAATGTCTTGGTATAAAATCCGATCATACATTCTATTTACTGAGATAGGAAAAAACCGCCTTATGGCTGGACGTGAGACATGCTGGCGGCAATACTGCTCTTTACTGCACTGAGGCGCTTGTATAAAGTCAAACATAAATCTGGCCTACATGCACATCAAGGCACAGCACCTTTCCTTAAACTTATTTATGACACAGAGACCTTTGCTCACACGTTTTTCTGCTGACCCTCTCCCCACCATTACCCTATAGTCCTGCCACATCCCCCTCATGGAGATAGTAGAGATAGCGATCAATAAATACTAAGGGAACTCAGAGACCAGTGCCGGCGTGGGTCCTCTGTATGCTGAGCGCTGGTCCCCTGGGCCCATTGTTGTTTCTCTATACTTTGTCTCTGTGTCTTATTTCTTTTCTCAGTCTCTCGTCCCACCTGATGAGAAATACCCACAGGTGTGGAGGGGCTGGCCCCCTTCAGTTATTTTTATGTTTAAAAATTGGTTTTGGTTAAGGACAGTAATATTCATTTAGCTCACTGGTTTGTTGCTACTTAATACAAAGTGAATGAATGATTTCCAAATGTGTATTTACCTCATGATCAAAACTGCTGATCAAAAAGCAAACTAAGATGCAGGAGCATCTCTGTTATCCAAGGCAACAGAGCCTGTCCTCAGCAGCACTTAGTGACAAGTGGCTCAGAAAGCAGCCTATAAATCATTTACTGCCTTAGAAACTGAAAGAGGGCATCGCTGATTACACACTAACAAATCACATACTGAGAACCATATTTGAACACTGACAAATCCTTAAAAACCAGTTAGCTTAGTATTTCCTAAACAGTATCAATACTAGTAGTAATAGCCATCACTTGTAAAGAGTTTACTGCTAAGCACTGTACAAAGTGCTTTATATGTATTATTTCTTAAAACCCTGTAACAACCTTATGAGATCTGTTCTGAGTATCCCCATTTTAGAGATGAGGATGGACGTCACAGAGAGGAGTAATTTGCTTTGAGGCCACATGGTAAGTATGTGGAGAAGCCAGCTTTTGAACCTGGGAATTTATCTCTGAATCTTCCACTCTAAACTATCACTTATCCTGCTTCTAATAACTAATGTCTAAGACTTACACTTAAAAATTTTTCTGTAACACTGGTTATTAAACTCAGTAGACACTGAAATACATTTAATGACTGAACATAAATAATTATCAGGTTGTTGGAAACTGTAATGATTATATCTTCTTCAAAGTGATCTCACATAGTACTTACAACTATTCCTACATTTCTATAACTAATCTGATGACAAGGTATTATTTTAAAATCAACACATAAACAGTTATTTAAGTTCAAATTGCTGCCCTACCTCATATGAAATTTCCTTTTTTTATACAACAGTTTATGACCAAACTGTTAACTTTGTGACATGAAGCCTTGCTATTCAAAGTGTGGTCTTAAGAGCAGTAGAGTTGGCATCATGTGGGAGCATGTTGGGTGTGCAAAATGCCATGTCACACCCCAGACTTGTGTTTTATTTTATTTTTTTAACTTTTGACTCATTTTATTGTTTTACAGTAATCAGATAGGAAATGAACTCTATTATATATTCCTTTTTAATCTTTTTTAAAAAATTATACTTTAAGTTCTGGGATACATGTGCAGGATGCACAGGTTTATTACATAGGTATACACGTGCCATCGTGGTTTCCTGCACCCATCAATCTGTCATCTACATTAGGTATTTCTCCTAATGCTATCCCCTCTTAGCCCCTCACCACCTGAAAGGCCCCAGTGTCTGATGTTCCTCTCTCTCTGTCCATGTGTTCTCATTGTTCAGCTCCCACTTATGAGTGAGAACATGTGGTGTTTGGTTTTCTGTTCCCATGTTAGTTTGCTGAGAATGATGGTTTCCAGCTTCATCCATGTCCCTGCAAAGGACATGAACTCATCCTTTTTTATGGCTGCATAGTATTCCATGGTGTATATGTGCCACATTTTCTTTATCCAGTCTATCATTGATGGGCATTTGAGTTGGTTCCAAGTCTTTGCTATCGTGAACAGTGCTGCAATAAACATGTGTGTGCATGTGTCTTTATAGTAGAATGATTTATAATCCTTTGGGTATATACCCAGTAATGGCATTGCTGGGTCAAAAGGTATTTCTGGTTCTAGATCCTTGAGGAATCACCACACTGTCTTCTACAATGGTTGAACTAATTTACACTCCCACCAACAGTGTAAAGGCGTTCCTATTTCTCCACATCCTCTCCAGCATCTGTTGTTTCCTCTTTAATGATCACCATTCTAACTGGCATGAGATGGTATCTCATTGTGGTTTTGATTTGCATTTCTCTAATGACCAGTGATGATGAGCTTTTCTTCATATGTTTGTTGGTCACACAAACGTCTTCTTTTGAGAAGTATCTGTTCATATCCTTTGTCCACTTTTTGATGGGGTTGTTTTTTTCTTGTAAATTTGTTTAAGTTCTTCATAGATTCTGGATATTAGCCCTTTGTCAGACGGATAGACTGCAAAAATTCTCTCCCATTCGGTAGGTTGCCTGTTCATTCTGATGATAGTTTCTTTTGCTGTGCAGAAGCTCTTTCATTTAATTAGATCCCATTTGTCAATTTTGGCTTTTGTTGTCATTGCTTTGGTTTTTAAGTCATGAAGTCTTTGCCCATGCCTATGTCCTGAATGGTATTGTCTAGGTTTTCTTCTAGGGTTTTTATGGTTTTAGGTCTTAGTCTTTAATCTGTCTGGAGTTAATTTTTGTATAAGACTTGTGTTTTAACAAGATCCCTGGGTGATTCGCATGTGCATTGAAGTTTGAAATGCACTGGTCTAAAGCACTAACTTTCCTATTCTAAGTAGCTGAAGTTCAGGCATCATATCAGAGACTTCAAGTCCCCCAAATGACACTATGGGACATTCTTTCCTCTTGTTCAGTCAGCCTCTAGTTTAGCACCAGGAGGCTCTCTTATTATTGAGCCTACAACCACCCACAACCAGAAGAACATTAAGATTTAAAAACAGAGGCTGGTAAATATTTGTTTTAATCTTGTTTAATTTATCTAATAATTGAAATTAATATTTGGATTAATTTGCATCTATTTTTGTTTTCTTTTTTTTTTTGAGACGGAGTCTCACTCTGTCACCGAGGCTGGAGTGCAGTGACAGGATCTTGGCTCACTGCAAGCTCCACCTCCCGGGTTCACACCATTCTCCTGCTTTGGCCTCCCAAGTAGCTGGGACTATAGGCACGAGCCTCCATGCCAGACCATTTTTTTGTATTTTTAGTAGAGATGGGCTTTCACTGTGTTAGCCAGGATGGTCTCGATCTCCTGACCTAGTGATCCGCCCGCCTCAGCCTCACAAAGTGCTGGGATTACAGAGGTGAGCCACCGCGCCTGGCCTGTTTTCTTTTTTAAAAAGTATTTTTATCTCTTTCAAATGTACATATGTCTCCTTAATTACACAGTAGATTCCTTGATGTCCAGTGCTGGTTTTACAATTGGATACTGGTGCTACACGTACATTAAGAGCTCACTAAATGTTGAATGGCAGTCTTTAATACTTCTCACCAACAAGACAAAACAGGCCCCAATGCTTTGGCAGTATAGTATCACAAGGGCTTCAGACTCACAGAAATCTGAGAGGAACTCCTTTTCAACCACTTAAGGTGTGACCATGATCAAGTTATTTAACCTCTCTTAAGGCTCAGTTTACACATCTGTAAAATGGAGAAAACAGAGCCTGTCCTGGGGAAGAGTGTAAGTATTAATGGTAAAAGGGCATTTAAAATACTTAGTACTGTCTAATTACAGAGGCCAACAAAATTAACTATTATTATTTATTATTGCGAACTGTAAGCTACATCTCATTAGCTCTACAGAGAGCTAAAACCTATTGAATGTATCTTTTTCTAAAATCCTTCTAATCCTTTCCCCATTTACTACCTCCTCCTATAATTCTAAAACTCCTTTCTTTTGCAGTTTTCTTCTCTTTTTATTCATCCTGCATTTCTAAATTTCTAATAAACTTAAAAAGTGTTTTATACAAATTTAGGCTCTGAGAGTAAAGTATCTCAAATACCATGATACATAGGGACATCTTATTTTTATACTCCATCAGATATCTAAAAGCATTTGCCTAGTTTCTGGGGAAAAATGCTTAAGAGGTTATTTTCAATAAAAGACATTTTAACTCTATATTCCTGTCTCTCAGTCTCCAGTTACCGGCAGGTGAATGGGTTTTGATAAAGTACTTGTTACTGTTATTAGGGTCAGCTATCAGTTTAACCACTTACTCATTGACTGCTTCTCTCCTTATCTGTAAAAAACATTAGTCAGTTGACAGATGCCCTCTAAAGTTTCTCATAGTTTTGAACAACTCTGATTCTGAGTAAAAGGTAGACAGTTATTAGATACTTAATTCAAGATAGCAGTGCTATACTATATTCAAAAGATAATAAAAATATAAAATCAGTAAGGTTAATCAACTATCCACAGTCAACTACGATTGCTTTGGGTACAGTTTAGAAGGTCTGTCTTTTTAGGTAACATATAATTACTCAGTTTAAGGGAAATCTTTAAATGTTAACTCTTTGAAACACAGAAATAGTTACATATAAACAAAAGTGCTCCCCACCTCCCACAAAAAAATCAAAAATCAAAATAAATAAGAGCCTCTCAGATAAACATTACTCAGTATTATGTGATAGTGAGAAAATAATCCTTCTTATGGAAATTATTTCAACTATAGTCACTTATATAGATGCCTTTTTTCTCCTCTAATCTACAAGTTTTCTGAGCTACAGTTTTAGCTGATATCGAAATCATTCTTATATTTTTCAAAGCAGCTTAAGTTCATAACTATTTGTTAAAATATAGTAAGTGTCCTGAGAATATTAGAGACAAAAATGTAATTTAAAAAATTTTAAACATTTTAAATGATAAGATACAGCTAGACAATGTAGAGTAGGATATGTTTTTAAAAAACTATTTGTAGACAAAGGCTTAAGTAAGTTATACATTAGGAAGCTGAAGTTACCACTGTTCTGAAAGTAAAGTTTTAGTTTTTTGGAAGAAGGGGCAGAGAAACAAAGGAGAACTTTATATAATTGTTTTACTATTAAAGAAATATACTATTACTCTTTTGTTTTAAGAACATATTCTGTATATTGTAAAATAGCACTATAATCTCCCGGGGCAATATAATAATAATAAAAAAAACCACACAGCAAAGCAGCAATAATTCAGTATCTATTCTATGGTTATGAGAAAACGGATATTGCCTTTTGTCCTAACACTACTATGTCTCTCCACCCTCTACACGCCTGCTAAGTTGGCCTTCTTCCTGTTCCTCCGAACTTCGTCCTGCTTCGAGGCCTTTACACTGGCTATTCCATCTGGAGCACTCTTCTTTCCCATCAGCTTACTCACATGTTTACTGCCTTGTTCAAGGTCAGTTTTGGCACTGAGCTGACAAACAGCCTCGACTGTGGTTTTAGATCATAAACTGCATTCAGTTCAAATAATATTTTCAAGGTAACTGATTTAAAATAATTCAAACCACACTGTGTCATTTAAAAATAAACTCCTTACCTCTTTTTCCTTTCTGTCTATTGCATCTCGCTCAGCCTGCAGTTGTACTTCTAGGGACAATTCTGGTTTAGCTTCTACAGCTCCAAACTGTTTTCGGTCCTCTACCTTTAAATATGGAAAAATTTTCTCAAAATTTCATAAACTAAATCCTGATTATCTAGTTTTTTTGTGTTTTTTTGGTTTTTTTGTTTTTTTTTTGAGAAGCAGCAATCCTGTTTCTCCAATTAGAAGTAGAAAGTGTACTTCTAATTAGCGAATAATTAAAAAGTTGGTCAGGCACAGTGGCTCAAGCCTGTAATCCTGGCACTTGGGAAGCTGAGGCAGGTGGATCACCTGAGGCTGGGAGTTTGAGGCCAGCCTGACCAAAATGGAGAAATCCCATCTCTACTAAAAATACAAAATCAGCTGGGTGTGGTGGCTCATGCCTGTAACCCCAGCAACTTGGGAGGCTGAGACAGAACAATCGCTTGAACTGAGGAGGCGGAGGTAGTGGTGAGCTGAGGTTGCACCATTGCACTCCACACTGGGCAACAAGAGCGAAACTAGGTCTCAAAAAAACAAAACAACAACAACAACAAAAAACTCTTCCCTTCTCAGGACTGACATGCAAGCAACATTTGGAAATAAGAACAAACAGAAATGGTTATGATGTCAACAGAGACATAAACATATTATGTAATAATACCTATAAGAAGTTGACAAATTAAGAGCATTCTTCATTAAAACACTTAATAAAGTTAGCCCAAATAAAATGCCACACCTTTTGAAAAGTATCTGCACTCACAAGTAGCGCCTGCTCCAGTTCTCTTACTCTGAACTCCAGTTTCTCTATTTCTTCATTCCTTTCCTGTATATCCCTTTGAAGCTGCTCTTTAGAGAGCAAAAGTTCACTGCATTTGTCTGTTTTTTCCTTCAGATGATTTGTTAACTGTTCAACCTGAAATATAAGAGGCAAAAAATTTAATTAAAAAAAATTTCAGCAAGCTAGTTAGTATACGTTGAGTTACCTCTCATTTTGGATATCTACAATCCAAAATGCTACAAAATCTGAAACTTTTTTGTTTGTCTGTTTAACAAATGGAGTCTTATTATGTTGCCCAGGCTGGAATGCAGTGGCTATTTACAGGCACGATCATCATGCACTACAGCCTCAAACTCCTGGGCTCAAGCAATCTTGCATCAGCCTCCTGAGTAGCTGGGACTACAGATGCATACCAACAAGCCTAGGTCAAAATCTGAAACATTTTGAGCACTGAGATCATGCTCAAAGGAAATGCTCATTGGAGCATTTCACATTTCAAATTAGGCTGCTGGATAGGTAAGTATAATGCAAATATTACAAAATTCAAAATATCTGAAATCTGAAACACTTCTCTCAAGCATTTTAAAGAATACTCAATGCATATAAAACATATCTTCATTTCAAAAATTTTTTTTCCAAAAAGCATTTTTAAATGTTATGCTAATTTCACTTTGTATAAAGATAGCAACTGTTGTCTTCAACAAAGGTGACATTTTACAAGTTGAAAAAATTAAGCAACGCTAGTAGATCACAAATAATATTGCTTTCAAGTAATCCTTTAAAAAAAGTTCTTTCTCTTAAGACTAAGACTTTCTCCACCTAGGAAGAGGGGAAAAATGCATTTTTCATAAGGCTGAATTATCTAATGGCACAACCACACTAAATCCTAATAAAGATGACAAATTTGCAGAGTACTGATTTACTCTTGTATGAGATAAAATGACCTAAATAAATCTTTTATGGACTATATTTTGAAAACAGTCATTGGGAAAGCTTTTTCAATCTATACATTCCATCAGCCCAGGAAAGAGACAAGGATGAAGGGGAGTGAGAGGGATCTGCGCACCTTGAGGGTTTCCCTAAGTGTCTCTAGTCTTCGTTTCTCCTTTAACCAAAATAATGATGTGTGCCAAGACCTATTCCCTAAGAATAATATGGAGATCCCTTCAAGTGAATGGTTCTGTGACAGAAGAATACAGGAAGGATTAGTAGTACTGTAAGGAAAGTGAGGAAGGAAAGCTTACTTTAAAAAAAGCAACATGTGATGGTAAGAAAGTAGAATTCTACCTTTTCTTTTCAGTGAAATATTCTGAGGAAATTATCTAAAAAACGACAGTTATTTCTCAGAACACTAAAAGAATGTAAGCTTAACTATAATTTCAGGTTCAAGGATGATAGCAATAAAGCCACTGATAACGTGCAGTTGGTTTTAAAGAGAAAAAGAAAAAAAAGGAAAAAAAAAAGTTGCTGAGGAGAAACTTTAATAAGTTGATTAAGATTTGGAGTAAGGTAAAAAAAAAAAAAGGCAACAATGTAGGTACAATAAAATGGTGCAACAGTTAGAAAAAAAAAAAAATCAAACATGCACATCTTTGTTAGTTTCTTAAAAGTTTCATGAGTGAAGCAGGCCAACCTTTCAAGTAAAAGAAAACGACATAATAGGAAATGACAGGTTAAATATTCTTTGAACTACAATAAATGACTACTTTTTTTTTTTTTTGAGACGCAGTCTCGCTCTGTCGCCCAGGCTGGAGTGCAGTGGCTCGATCTCGGCTCACTGCAAGCTCCGCCTTCCGGGTTCACGCCATTCTCCTGCCTCAGCCTCCCGAGTAGCTGGGACTACAGGCGCCTGCCACCGTGCCCGGCTTATTTTTTGTATTTTTTTTATTAGAGACGGGGTTTCACCGTGTTAGCCAGGATGGTCTCGATCTCCTGACCTTGTGATCCGCCCGCCTCGGCCTTCCAAAGTGTTGGGATTACAGGCTTGAGCCACCGCGCCCGGTCCCTAAATGACTATTTTTTAAAAGCCGAAAATATGTTTGTCAGAAGTGGGGCAATAACTAGAAACTGTGGAGACTGATAACTTTTGTACTACTCTAGTAGATAACATTTTATTACAAGGAGTTTAAGGCACTCTGTACTTCTTTGGTTTTCTTTTAAGAGAAATGAAATCCACTAAACTGTTCAGAAATTACATTCAAAATAAAAATTGTTTTCAGAAATAATACTAAAGTGTTCACTATGTGCCAGCTCAACACTCCTATGATGTGGGTGCTATTATGATCTCTATTTTAGAAATGAATTAACAGAGATTTCAGAGGTTAACTGACGTAGTTATTGTCATTACCTAGTAAATGGCAGAGCCATGATACAAACTGGGATTGCCTTACGCTAAACACAATGTCTTTATCACCATGATAAGCCATCTTTAGGTATTCATACAATGAATCCTCTCTCATTTATGTAGCATTCATTTGGTAAATGTGGAGTTTTGACTATGTTTCTATGAGGAAAATAGGTAGTTGGGGTGAAAAAGGAGAAGCAGGAGACTGGTTAAGAGGCTACCACAGGGATCCAGGCAAACAAATGACAACTGGGATTTAGGAGGATGAACAAAAGTGCAAAGAACAGAAAGATGTAGTGCAATCTGACCCATCAATGTGTTGGAAGTAGGGGTTGAGAAAAAGAGGGGAATCAAGGCTGATTCTAGTTCTCAGCAATGGGGCAGGTTAGAAGGAACAGAATTTACTGAGATGAAGAAGGAAAATGTTTTATGCTTGTCTTTCTCTGGTTGTGGCTAATCAGGAATCAAGACTCTCTTTTGGACATGTTAATTTTGAGACATCTAAGCAGAGACAGAGTAGGCACTGGATATCCAATTCTGGAGCTTAACAGAGATGTCACAGATGAAAATACAGACGTGGAGTCATTTATATACGACTGCCTGGGAAGAGGCTACAAATAGGAAATAAGAAGAGGCCCAAGTGTAAGTTTTGGGGCACTCCATCATTTATGTTGGGTAGGAAAAGGAGAAACAAAGACTAGAGGAGAGAGACCAGCAGAGTAGGTGTGTCACAGAAACCAAGAGAAGGAAGTATTTATGGCAGAAGGCTGCAATAAATGCCTCCGAATGGTTGAGTAGGATGGAGACAGAGTTGGATATTAGCTATAGCCGTCAGGCTCTGGGTCACCTTCACAAGAACAATTTAAATGGAGTAGAAAGTATAACCCTACTGAGAAACAAGGGTTGGATACTTCACTGGAGTGGACTAATAACAGAATAGGAAATGGGAAAGTAAAGAGTGAACAGAGATAACTCTTTTGGTCACTTTTGTTAGGAATGGGAATAAAGAAATTGTAAAACAGAGTTTATTTAATTGGGAAAGACATAAGCAGATGGAAATTATTCCAAATTTCAATACCAACAATTTTTAGGGTTAATTACCTTCTCTTGCTTAAGTAATATTAAGTTTTCTGATTTTGAAGATTTACATACAACAGAAAGAATCCACTTTTAAGTTTTTAATGATATGCATCTTATTTTACACTTGATACAAATTACTGTAAAGTGGGCAATGTCAGTAAAGTTCTTACCTCTCTAGTTTGATGTTCACTGATAGGCTGGAATCGAGGAACAACCTTAAGTTGCTGTTCTAGTTTCTGTATTTCCTGTTGGAATACGTCTCTCTCATGTTCTCTATCAATGGCTTGCTCCTAAAAGTTTAATAATAATAATGACAGTAGCTGAAGAAACAGTATTTAGTGAAGCTATTATTTCTTACTTCCCCTTTAGATACATGTTAGTTTTGTTTGAAGACAAAGGACTGATGACCATGGAATATCCCAAACCACAAAAATTTTAAAAGATAACATTTAATTTTAATTAATTAATTTATTTTTTGAGATGGAGTCTCGCTCTGCCGCCCAGGCTGGAGTGCAGTGGTGCAAACTTGGCTCACTGAAAGCTCCGCCTCCCGGGTTCACGCCATTCTCCTGCCTCAGCCTCCTGATGGCACCCGCCATCACGCCCGGCTAATTTTTTTTTGTATTTTTTAGTAGAGACGGGGTTTCACCGTGTTAGACAGGATGGTCTCAATCTCCTGACCTCATGATCTGCCTGCCTCGGCCTCCCAAAGTGCTGGGATTACAGATGTGAGCCACCACACCCAGCCAACATTTTATTTTTTATATGCCATATAACCTATTTGGGCTCCTCAACAAAACTTCAAGTATTAGTATCTAAATATTATTTGAAGTACATTTCTTTTTTTATTCAAGTAATATTAAATACAGGATGAAAAAATATTCACCTTAAAATGAATTTCCTTTTTTGGAACAAAGGAGGAATTCCACTGTTAGTTTAGCCATTAAACAAAATAAATAAAACGAATTGTTTGGAAAATCAGTTTCTTGAATCCTAATCTAGGTTTTATGCCTAAAGTTATAAAATGAGTAAGAATCTGATTCTCTGATCTATGAAGAGAATATCAGGTTTAAGTGAAATCTCAAAGGAAAAAAAAATGTGAAATTAGAGATTTAACATCTTTTTGGAAGAGAGTAATGGCAGCATGACCACTGTTCCAGGCCCATTTCCAAGGCCACACTGTTACCTGTGTGTATCTTTTACAGGTGAAACAGTGGTGGCCCATTATCTCTTTGCCTATCTTACCCTGTGGTTAAATAAAAAACTAGAATAAGCTTCTGATCTGAATTTGGAAATGTAAACTAGTGGGGCTTATTCATAATTTTTATTATGTATAATTCAATACATAATAAAATGTACTGATTTTAATTGAGTGCTGTATAATAAAAATTAATGATTGGAATAGTACTTTTTGATCAATTAGCAGAATCGACACCTAATAAAACATTGAAAAACTAATTCAACAGTCTTTTCATAATTTAAAATTCATAGCCTAGTATACTAGCAAAGAACATTCTACTGAGAAAAATCAATATTCAACTTGAGAATACTTACATCTAAAAATTTTCTCATTTTTTCTAACTGCTTTTCCAATGCTTGGTTTTGCTGTCTTAAATCCATTAGTTCAGCATTTTTTTCTTGTTCCAGCTCTATAAACCTACTGACTTGTTCTTCCACATCTATTTCTAGAGCTTTCACTTGTTTTTGAAGGTCATCACGTACTTTTTCAGCTTGACATTGTACTTCTAGTTTTTCCTTCATTAATTTTTCTGTCTCCTGTAGTAATTCTGTACATTAATACAAAGTATACTGAATTAAATCATAATTAATGATGTTATGATAATGAAATCCCTGATAACTATGTCCAAATTTTACCTTCATGAAATAAAAGGCTGAGAATAATTTTAAATACACATGAAAGTAAATATTCTCTTATGAAAATATCAAAATTATATTAAAATACTTCTATATAAATAAACAAGCTATTAATAAAATTACGCAGAATTAACAAAAATATGTCCTGTCACTAAAAATAATATTTTTTGTGAAAACAACATAGCAAATGACCAAAAAAAATCTATTTTTACTATTGGGCAAAGAACAAAGTCCAATTAAATTCAAGCACAGAAAAAAACTTACCGCTTTCTTCACCTCAGGCAAAAAGCAATTCATTCCAAACCCATAAAGTCAATCTTATTTGCATACACAAAAAACTTGAAGATCAAACACTGTAAATCTTTAACCAAGGCAAGTCTAAGAGTTACAGAAATACAAATACAGCTATAATTGAAATTTCCTGTTAGTCTTACTCCTTATTAGATCCACATTCCTGAGTTGCTTTTGCATGGTCACATGTATGTGGATCAAGGGAAAACTGACATTTATGAGAGGCAGTATGGTGTAGTGCTTAAGAACAGACTGTAGGCTCAACCTAGCTCAGCAACTTACCTCCCATGTGACAATTATGATGACGTCCTTTAGTTTCCTTATATGTAAACTGAGAATAATATTATTACTGATTTCTTAGAGTTATTTTGGCATTAAATGAGTGAATATATGTAAAGAAGAGTGTCTGAGGTATGGTAAGCACTATGTGTTAGCTATTATTATTAATATAACAGTGTATATAGTAAAAATAAAACAATCCTCTAATGAAGAAAATGGAAAGAACATATCCCTAGGGTCTTTAAATTAACTGGTATGCCAACATTGTACTCAGGACTAGGAATCTCTAGAAAACAGCTTTCCTTTTGAAACAATACTAATATTAGATGTTAATACAAAAATAAATCAACCAAAAAGTCTCTTATTAAATTTTGTTGATCTTTTGCTACCATCATCTTACATACTTCCTGATTTAGAAGGAACATTTTAAAAACTCAGAGATTGAAAGAGTTTAATATATTTATTAAATGTTTTCTTAAAAAAATCAAACTGGTTGGGTACGGTGGCTCACGCCTGTAATCCCAGCACTTTGGGAGGCCGAGGTGGGTGGATCACCTGAGGCCAGGAGATCGAGACCAGCCTGGCCAACATGGTGAAACCCCATCTCTACTAAAAGTACAAAAAATTAGCCAGCTGTAGTGGCTCCCGCCTATAGTCTCAGTTACTCAGGAGGCTGAGGTGGAAGTGAGCTGAGATCACACCACTGCACTCTAGCCTGGGCGACTGAGCAAGACTCCATCTCAAAAACAAACAAACAAACAAACAAAAAAAATCAAAATGGTTTTAAGCTCTATGCAAAAACAGACATCATAAGATGATGGTCAGTATGAATCTCAGATGTTAATTTCAATGAAAATTTGTACTTTTAGCATAAGAAAAGTTTTTTTGTTGTTGTTAAAAACTGTAAGTATGAAACAACAGCAACACTGCAAAACTAGAGATGTTAGTTGGTTGAAAATCCAGAGGTCACCCACATTTTGGAGTTTCAAGTCTACCACCCAAACACTGGCCATGCAATTGTATACACACACCTGCTCCCGCTGCTGCATCGACTGCAGCATCTACTAGTCCTAGGAGAATAGAGAAAAACAACAAAAAAAGACACAACAAAAGTATAATTTATATGTCTCCCACTTCCTAAAATGGGATAATGCACATGCACACACACGTATCAAAAGCAAGAGTTGAAGACACTGATTATCACTGGTAATATTTTGAGAAATCCCAGTATTTCTTGAATATTTTGCATGACATATACTTTCCACATTAAAAATTCCAAACTAAACCTGTTTAATTAATTTGAGCAGCCGGAAGAAACTTAACTATATTACAAAAATGTATGCTGTATTTCTAAACTGATAAAATGAAATAAGTGAAAAATTAAAACATTTAAAAATCCAACTGCATGTGTAACATAAAAGAGGACATGGTAAACAGGATTTAAAGTTCCATCGTTACAAAGACTGACATTTACTGCTAAACAAACTTTCACTTCAAGATATTACTTAATTTCTTATTTAATGAAAAATGAAAGGTTACTTATACATTTAAGTATTATTTGAATTCCTACTTAGATTAAACTAGATGTCAGCCTACCAGCCACTGACCTTTTTAAATCTACTCTGCTTGTAAGTCAAAAATCCCCTCCACCTGCTCATTACTAGTGCCAGATCAGTGCTTTTAGATATTTAATCCAAGTATACATTTTTGCTGCTTCTCTGCTATTAGAACTAAACCTTATACAATTTAAAAAATATCCTGCCTCATTATTTGCAGCTTTCTCTTGAAGCAGAAGTCTGAGGATAAATGAAGAACTATCTTTTCCTGTTAACATCTGCCTAAGGAAAAAGAAAAAGACAAAGAAAAAAAAAAACAAACCTAATTCCACATGATTGGCTAATGAGACATTTATCTATAAGGTAGATTTCTTATAATTTTTCAAATCTCTATAAAATATATGAATAATGGCACTGAAAGAGGAAAAAAGCCACTTTAAGCCTTTGAAGAATATAAATAAAATCAGTGGAATGTTTCATACAAATTCAGAAAATACATACGTTGTTCAACTGGGCCTGCCTCTGCTTTCATAGCTTCCTTTTGTCTGGACAGTAATTCTCTTTCTTCTTGGATCTGCTGTTGCTCTGCCTCCAATTCTTGCAATCTGTTACTTGCACATAACAACTCCTGCTCAAGACGATCTATTATATCAGTTTTTTCCTGAATTTGCCTTTCAAGAAGAGTTTTTTCATCTGCATAGCCATCAATGACACCTATAAAATAATATTAACAGAAAATAGAACTATTATTCATTTCGATTCAACCACTAGGTTTTAATATAAACAACAAAAGGTGTACTGTTAGCAAAACTTTCCATCATTCCAACCTATTAAAAGTCTTGAATGAATTTGCTGCTCATCACAACAACTATCAACCTTTAATAGGGTATGGTCAATGCAGACATCTCGTTGTTTACCATTGTGCATAAACATGAAATTTCTCTGAATTTTCTAATACTTTGCTATACTAAAGTATCACATCACGTAGGTGTAACTCACTTTATTAAACAGATATAAACAATAAGTTTCTGAAAAGCTTAATACAAATTAGATGCTTGTGAAATGAATCACATTTTGAAAATTAGAAAGTTGGTATTTTAAGTAATTTTAGAAGGCCAATACCCGTAACAGCAGAGAAGAATTAAAAAGAGCATAGGGCTTTAGAGATTCAAAGCCTGGAATCACCATTTAATGGTAATGGTGCCCTTTAACAATTTAATAACATCTTTAAGCTTCAGTTTCCTCATCTTTAAATTACAAAGGTTGTCTTAAGATGGTGTGATTATGGTAACAAGTCACCACCATCCTTTTTGGTATTTTCTGAAATTATTAATATTTTCTGTAACTCTATAAATTCTTTTTATAATTAAATATATATATATATAGTTTTAAAAATTGCTTGGAGGAACTCTGAAGATAAACCACAAGTACTTTTTAATGGTCACTCTAAATTGGATTTAGACATGACGGCTTCCAAACCTGGCTGTGCATCAAAAGTCTCTATTTTAAGACTGAAATTTCTGTACCCTTAGTTGTCAATGGCAAATTGCTCACCCTCAGCCTTACTGAGCTCCACAGCTAGCTGTTCTCTGGCCCTGGACTCCTCATGAAGGCGCTCTCGAAGGTCTTCTTGGCACTTAAGGGACTCTGTTGCTTCTTGTTTCTGTCTAAATGACTCACGCATCAACTCTGTCTGTGTAACTTTCGCATGTTCAAGCTAAACAAAGAGGGAAACAATACATAAAAGAAAATAAAGTGTGGAAATACTAGTTTCGTTCCCCATTAAAGCTGGAAAAAAGGGGGATTTTAAAATAAAGAGATACTACTGAATTGTAGTCATACAGATATTACCAGTGCATGCTAAGATTAGCAGGCAGGATAAATCAGAGGAGACATGTATATTGGCTGTGCACAACTTTCTGTAAAGTGACATATTCTAGCTTTACTGAACAAAAGAATATGCTTCTTTTGGATATAAGCCACTTTAAATCAATGGCTGTGTAGTTTATCATATAAAAGAAGATATAAAATTAACAAAGCACAGGCATTTACTGTATTTGTCAAAGAATTTTATGTAGCTATATGGTCTATGATAAACTTTTTTACATTTAGTATTTATGGATTGTGACTCCTACAGTATCTGTTGTATACTGTGGGGGACTAATAATACATGATTAATACAGCGGCATCAATTAACAAAACCATAGTGACACAACAAAATGAAATTATATTTATAATCCATGTACTTAACTAAAAGCTTTGTATTTCTGTCCATTTGTGAAACATCTAAAGCTCCTATGAATATTCAGCTTATTTTCAAAACCTTACACAATACACAGACATTAACCACAAACACAGATTCCTTAAAATACTACCAATAGCACATACTGACTATATTCTTAAACAATTTTTTAAGATTATAGGAGGCTTAAGGCCAAAGCTCTCTTGATCACTGCTACTAAATGAGCTCTGTGAAATTGCAGAAAACTACTGTCTCTGCCTTAGTTTTCTGAGCTTTTGAATATTAGTACCTGCTTATCTGTTATTACTGAAACAATTACATGGGAAAAAATTGAACTCAAATGTTTCTAGTATTTAGTCCAAAAATTTTAACAAAAAACCATCAAATATATTAATAACAGGCTCACAGTAAAGTCATAAGAATTTGTAAATTTATATATAAAGTACTTTGTGCATTAAAAAGATATTACTACATTTTAAGCTTAAAATATGATCAAATGTAGTGGTTTCTAATTTATAGACACATATTGAAAATGTATTACAAAATCATGATAATATTAAATAATACTTTATTGTTAAAGACTTCTGCTTTTCACATCCGAGCAGCATTTGTCATAGCAAATGGATTTTAGAGTAACTATAGTTTTTGATGGCCACTCTAAATCAATTTCCAAAATATCCAGTATACGATTATTCTTGTTTTAATAGGATATTTCAAATATCACTTATAACGTGTTTAAAATTAATATGAATACATATTTAAGACTCATAATAGAAAATTAATCCTACATTCTAAATTATAAATTATTTCCTAAAATACCCATAATATGTTATCTCAAAAGGAGTATTTTTACTTTTAGTTGGCAAGAGTTTTTCCTTTAAGTGTGGATAACTAATATCATTAATTTTTATTATAAAGACACATAATAAAGTATGAACTAATTTATATACAACTACTTCCTGAATTTACAGTCACAATCCATATTTTAAAAACATATCAATTGCTTTTATATACATGTATGTCATTTTTTTCTGTTCATTACATAATGACTATCTAGTAAATACACATGACTAAAAAGGATATGCATTTTTTTTCCTTTTTCAAATTTACTATAGGGATACAACAAAGGATTTACAACAAAATAAATGCTTCCTTTAGGTAAGTAAATTAAATAAGTCTTTGTTTCCATGTTCTACTTCTTGACAAGATTTAACCAGGCTTATAATCCATTTAAATATTTATCATAAAACCACAAGAAAAAACTTCAGTTTTATAAAATAAAACAAAAAAGTTGGAACAATCAAATATAGTAAATCTAGCAAAAAAATTTCATTTATTACAGCAGATGAGATTGATACTTTATCGGGAGATAAGAGACACCCTTCAAATGTTCATCCAAATACTTAATAAAGAATCTTCTTCCATTCAGAGTATGTTTATTTCTAATATCTATAACAATATGAAGTATATAAAATTTAATATTCAATATTTCCAAAATATTTAAGAAACTTATAATTACATTAAAAGTACATGTAAAGTATCAGTTAATATTCTGTCACTTTAATATAAAAGTTGCAAAAGAGGTAACAAAACTATTCTGAAAACCATTTGGCTTGTTAAATATTAACTAGTACAGGATAAAGCTATGAAAGTCATAAAAAGTGCTGAATAACTTTTAGTTATACTGAATAACTTGTAGTGAACCTGAAATACTAAATATTCAAGCCTCTTTATGCTAAACACTTATCCTTAACAATGTTTATAAAATATATTCCATATAAAAAGCAGAAAGGGGTCTTGTTCCACAAGATTAGGAGGCATATTAAAAACAAAAAGTAAGTTCCTTAGGTTGTTAAGAATATTAAAATTAGAACCCAAGCTTCCTTTTTTCCTTGTCTGGAACATCCAATATATCATGATTGTAAATATTTCCTAATTGCTCAATGACAATTCACTTAGCTGTTTTATAAGTATCACAATACCCAGTCTCTCAAATATAATAATTATTCCATTCTTATTCAGGATGGGCATCACAAACATACAAAAGCAAGAATCTTAAGGAAAAGCAAGATCTTTTTAAACAACCTGCCTGGCATTGGAGAAATGTAATATTATCTCATTCTGCTTTCTGTAATTAAAAACATAGCCAAGTTGGAACTCAGACCAAATTTAGCCCTTAAATACATCTAGGATGAAAGAATAGTAACACATCAAACAAGGTTCTATCCCATTTAGCATTAATATAGACACTGAAAATTTAATTTCTCATTATAGTGTTTAAATGAATATTTTTTATACTTACTGAATAAGGAGGGGTAGGCAGTGAAATTTTAGAAATAAGCTTTAATATATGTCCGTTTCTTTTATGAATAATATGGAAAATAGAAGTATTAACAATTACTGAGTTATTTTCATCCAAATGTTCACATAGAGGAAAAGGATGTGGTAAAGGCACGCGAGACTCAACCTCATAAATGTCTTCATCTTGCTCTTCTAACCATGAGCCACTGAGTTTGACAGTTGCCAAATAGGTGCTATAAGAATCCATCTCAGAAGATATAGCTGCCAAGCTTCCTAATTTGCTTTGTCAGTTTTCTAGTACATTAAAAAGTTCTTTTTAGTTTATCAAGATCTATCATAGCAGTATAAAAATTTCCTTTTTTAGCACTACCAAATAAACATTATAAAATTAATTCATACAACTGCACAATAAAAGGAAGGGAAAGTCCAGGAAAAAAACTAAAAATCTGAAAAAACTTAGGTCTCTTATTAATCTTCATCCCCCCTCAAAAAAACCCAAACTAAAACAAAAACCAAAAAAAACAAAAAACAAAAAGCAAGCAAACAAAAATACCTTTTAAACTAGCATAACTAAGTCCTTGAAGAGAAGAATAAAAATATAAACATCTAATTAGATGAGCAATAAAACTGCTTTTAGTATCAACGATGTCTGTAGTAATAAGTAAGCCTTCAAAGCAGAACCTGGCAGGGAAGGTCAAGTTTGAAATCTCCATAGTAGCAGTCTTGAGAAATCCAGTTGCAACATTATTTCCCTTGCTCTTGCTGCTTCATTCTATTCAAAAGGAAAAGCTCTTTTGAACCGAGCTATTCAAGTAGCCTCTCATGCTGAGCCAAAGGATTCTAGTCAGTGTCCCCTGAGGAAAAGGTCAGAACAGAGGGTGTGGTTTAATGTCTTTACCTATAGGTACACTGACAGGTGGAATGTGAATTAATACGCCCACAAAAAAGTCTGCCAGACAGGATCCAAGTTCCACGTCACGACTTTGAAAGGGCATTTAGACAAGTTTATAATGTCTGTAAGATAAGCTGGTGTTTTTCCATTCCATTAAAAAATTGCTTTAATTTAAAAATGTGAAATTAATTATGTTGGAGTCCACATTAGTAGTAATAAGTTATTCAAGTATATAAAATAACCATAATTATTTCTGGAAAATTAAAAACTTACTTTTGCTATTTTCTTAGAAATATTACTCATCTTTCAAGCAGCCACTAAAACTAAATATAGACATTTCAGTTATAACCTATTTTCATATTGTTTATGGAGTACATGTTAAGGAAAAAATTCTTTTTAAAGCTGCACTGTATATAATACTTGAAAACTATACCACTTAAGGTATCCTATGAACCCTGACTAAACTTTAAAAGCCCAAGTTATATATAATAGCCTCTGGGTAGCTCCAGAAACCTGGGCAATGGTGAATAAGTAAGCCACTCAGAATTTTAGATCAACAACTTACTTCTTAATATTAAAAGATTTTCAATAATGAAAGTTGTTTTAAAGAAAGGAAAAAGCCCTCATTTTGGTGTTTTTCTATCCAGTAACTAAATATCCTAAATACACAAAGCCTTTATTTAAATGGAAAAAAGCATGCTAAAGAAGGCAGGTAATACCAACACAAATCCATTCTACAGTGACTCACACTATAAAGTTGTGTAAGCCAGTACTCAAACCATTTCACGGTAGGTAGGCTAATCATTAGGGCAGAGAAAACTACATTTTCTACAGAAAGCCAGAATTTACAGGGAAATGGATTGTATTTCCTGTGGAGGGGCAGTTGCCTCTTACAAGTCTGGACTAGGCAATAAAATTTTTTATTAGGCTTTCTTATGAGACCCTTCAGTTAGTCTGTGAAGGTGTCTTAACAAAGCACGTTCACAGGCTAACTGGAGGGTTGCATAAGAAACCCTAATAAACACCTATACAAGATAGAGGACTAATCTTATCACTGCTGCAGCTAAATGTGACTTTAGTGGGGCTTTGGCAGATAGAAGTTGTCAATATCCCAGCTGCTCAGCTTTATGAACTGTGGGGACCCATGCTTAGCCTATCAAATACCTCTTAAAATACTCTTTCCCTGCTCCCTCTGCAAACTACAGTTTGTTTTGATAATCTGATATCCAAATTCTCTTATTTGAAGCAAAAACAAAATCTGTAAGTAAGAAACAGCCCTTTATAAACAGTAACATTTAGGTCAGGATAAGAACTAACTACAAAGATACGAGAGAGAAATTACTGAGAAAAATGGACCAAAAAAAGTAACAGATTAAGATGATCACAGTATAGGGCAAAGAGTCCTCATAACAGTATATTAACTGATGGAATATTATATTAATTCATGTTCATAAAGATGACCTGGAACTAAAATAATTGAAATTATAGTCTATTGTTTCACCCATTTTTGGAAGCATGTAAAACTTGCTTCCATCCATGTAAAACAAAAACCTGTAAGTAAGTAGTTATATTAGGAACACAGGTCAAGGTAAGAAGCTTACACAAAGAAAATAGAGTGAAATTAGGGCAAAAAAGACTCAAAAAAGCAGTATTAAAGAAAGGTGATTCAGGATAGTGGCATACAGCCCTTGTAACAACAGTAATATTAACTGATGATATATTAATTGATGTTCAGAAAGGTGACTGAATTAGAATAATTCAAATTATATTCTATCTTGCTTCCCCTCTGTTTTAGAAAGCATATAAAACTTCTTGCAATCAAAGATAGTTATAATATGACTTAGAAGAAAACACTTTTAATTATCCAGACTAGCTTATTATCCCTGGGTTTCAGATAATTGAGATTTTAATGTATATTTGAAGGCTATTAATTTGCAGCATAGAGTTGTTTCCTAAACAAAATAGCTTTACTTAAATCAAATAATGTCAAACCATTTAACCACCTTTCTTCATAAATTACTTTCTTCAAACTGTAAAACACTTTTGTTGCTCTCTTTTGGACTTTGATTTGTTCCCTGTTTTTCTAAGTTATTTCACAGAGGGCCTATAACCTGTAAACATTACCCTGACGGAGCCTGGACCAATGCTGAGCATACTGGGGACAATACTTGAAGGCAAAATGTGTTTCAGTATTTTGATTACAGTTATGTTTCAAACACAACAATAACAAAACAAAATCTTAAGTTATACTACTGTTTCATCCTCAGATTCCTTTTCTTGAGAAAATATAGAAGCATGTAGCTTTGATGTTGTAATTCTTAAAAACAAGTATTAGGAAGCCCATGAAAATTTCTTATAGTGAAAATCACACCATGGGAATAAATTACATATCCATTAATTTCTTCCAAGGCCTAGGGGAATCTCTTGGTAAATAACCTCCTATGGCTCTAAATAATACTTCTGGATTCTGGAAAACTTTAATTGCTGAAAAACTATTCCCAAAGAAGAGAATGGTTTTGATTTCTACCTGATCCAGGAGTCTAGAATCTGTGAAACCATACTCTCAAAGATAACATTTCTGCAGAACCACAAAGAGACTACTGAATAAGGATTGTGTTAAAGAGATTACCTCTCTAAGGGCCTTACGGCAGTCTCTTAAGCATTCTTTTTAATACTATCATGAAAGCTATCCCAACCAGTAGGAACCTAACAATAAAGTAAATATAAGCCTGATTGTATGGTAGCCTGTCCAAGCAAAAGAGAGGTAAAACCATTGCAATAAATGTATTATAATATGGACTTGGACATATCACTGGGCAAGTTACCCCTCAAATAAAATATCTAAAGTAAATAACTCCTATAATACACATTATGAAATCAGCCAATCAGCCTATAAGGCAGATTCTTGTCCAGTGCCCTAATATTCAAAAATTTTGCCACTGAATGACTCATCTTAAGCATCAAGTCCCACAGTAAACTTTACTTGGTCCCTAGTATACTCTAATATGTCAGATGCTGCTCTCTTCTCTGGTCTCAGAGTATTCTGTACAAAGTTATTTTCCTGAATTTCTCTTTCACTGAAAACACAAAGATAGCACAGCATGCCTCCCAGCTGTTTTACATTTTGTTATAATAAGTGAAAAAAAAAAAGAAAGTTAAAGGGAAGTATACTATTATAAAGTAGAACCAAATAATGACATGTTGAAGAGGAAAGTGGAATATAAGTTATTTCACAAAGATATTACACATTATTCTGTGTCAATCCGTTAAAAATATTCATCAGGTTCAAGATAATTTTAGTTATTAATTAATGAGACTATTCTGAAGAAATCAATGGCTTTAAGCATCTATCCATGGAAGATTAAAAACCGAACTGAAATTAGTTTAAAAGAAAGTTTTAAAAACTCCTATTCGAAATGCTGAAAAATATTATTTACTTAAGAAATATCTGATTTTTATAACTTATTATACCTAATGTCAACAATTAGCTTAACATTTTATATAAAAGATGTTAGTACAGTACTTCAAAATTAAGCCAGAGAACAATGTGAACATTATACTAATAATCCACAGATTAGTGGTTCTCAAACTTTAGTGTGAATCAGAATCATATAAAGGACTTATTAAAAACACAGGTTGCTGGGCCCCCAATTTCAGTAGGTCTGGGGTGGGGCCTAAGAATTTATATATTGAACATATCACTAGGTGATGTTGATATTGCTGGTTAAGGGCTGCACTTTGAAAAGTCTCTGTCGTAGGGTTACTGCTCTACACAAAGCTTTTGTGATCCATTCAGTGATATTTAAATTACAACAATACAGTAGAAGCTAAATAACACAGTGTGGATTTAGTATTTAACAAATTGGGAAAAATCTGGAAAATGCCATGGTCAGACTCCTACTGTACTTCACTACCTGGTCACATAAGCAGACAGCTGCTATGAGCTGTGGTCTTGGCCTGGGGAAGTGAATGTTTCAGGCGGAGCCCACACGCTTGACTATTGGCAGCATTAACAAATTTTGGAGAAGTTTCTCTCTAATAGCCTGTTAAAAACAAGTAGCCTATTGGAACCACTGACCATTTTTGATTTATTTAACATTTTTCACGTTGCTCCTCAAAAGACAAATACTATGTTGCATTAACTAAACTGCTCATAATTTACAATGGTATCAAGTAGTAGCAACAGCATTAATACTGGCCAAGATCCAGGTCAAAAGTACTTAATAGTGGTTAAGAAACAAAAATATTAACAGTTGTTTTCATATATGAAAGTACAAATCACAAAAATTAAATACTAATATACCCAAAATAAGCAAAAAACAAAACAAAACAAAAGCAGGACCATGTAGGAATTCAGCATAGAATCATTTCTACTATACAACTTGCATACAACCAAAGGGATAATTAAGATGCATATGCATTCAAGCTTTGAAAATGCCAAACAGCAACCCATGAAAATATCGAAATTAGCTCAGTCGAGAGAGTGGGATAGCACATTGTACTTCAAACTCAGTACATATTAGCAATATAAGGAGGTTACCTGACTGCTAGTTTCACTTATGGCTTCTAGGAGTTTTTCAACTGCTGCTTGTAGTCGAGAGCTAATGTTCAGCACAAGTTCTTCATTTTCAGGGTCTATTTCAGTTCCAGCAAAACCACTCCTCACGAGTCGTTGTGACAGCTCTGTTCCTTCCTCAGTTACTTTTGACCACATATTAATGTCATTTCTTGGCATATCACTTCCAGAATAAGAGGGAATGGATTCATCTGTAACTAGAATAACAGTATTTTAAAGGCATAAATTAATTATAATAATCATACTTTTTTAAAGTTATAAAATAAAATCAAAGTAACACTGGAAATCATGGAAATTGTAAGGTCTTTTAAAATAACATTGCAACCAAACAAATAAAATATGCAAATATAGGATATAATATTATTCAATAGCCAAGCAAAAGAATGAGAAATGTTATGCTAATAGGAATTTGCAGAAATTATTTGGGTAATTCAGTATTTTTTTCTTTGATAAAAATTTCTGAGATACCTATCAACAGAAATTTACTACATGCCCACCGTGCAGAGTTTGCTAAGTAATAGGGACATATAGGTGACAAGATCTGGCTCCAACCCTTGACGACTTTACAATGTAATGAGGAAACACATAAACAATCACAAGAAAAGAGAAGCATTGTGCAGTAGGCCGTTCCAAGTGTACAGAGGGATAGAAATAAGTACTTGAATTTGTCGGGAGCAGACTGACTTTTGAGCCTACATTGGGATTACAGGATAGAAATAAGTGCTTGAATTTGTCTGGTGATGACTAACTTTTGAGCCGACACTGGGCAATATAATCTGCTCTGGCTACACGGTAAAAGGAACTAAGACCATTTTGTTGCTTGCTACTTTTTAAAGAGGAATACTGGGATAAGATTAGGCTGACAAGCAGTTCTAATTTAATTATGGACATTGTTATCTACATTACCCACACTATTCTTATTTCTTATGTAAAAAAAATGAGTTTGCATGGGTAGAAGATAAGCTTTCCAAGTGTTTTCTCTAAGCTATAATAAAAGCACAGGCTATTCACCACTGACATTAAATACTCATTTGTGGCAGATGTTACAACCCAACAGTGAAGTTTCCTGAAGAGGCATTACCTATTCTTTTATTGCATGTAGTACATATTTGTTATCAGTAAGTGTACAAAGTTAACAAATTAAAGCAGAAGAAATCTTCAGGTACCAAGTGCTTGGAATAAGCACTTAGTTTGACACATTAGCTCTCAACTACAAGCAGCAGTTGAAAAACTCCTAGAAGCCATAAGTGAAACTAGCAGTCAGGTAACCTCCTTATATTGCTAATATGTACTGAGTTTGAAGTACAATGTGCTATCCCACTCTCTCGACTGAGCTAATTTCGATATTTTCATGGGTTGCTGTTTGGCATTTTCAAAGCTTGAATGCATATGCATCTTAATTATCCCTTTGGTTGTACGAAAGTTGTATAGTAGAAATGATTCTACACTGAATTCCTACATGATCCTGCTTTTGTTTTGTTTTGTTTTTTGCTTATTTTGGGTATATTAGTATTTAATTTTTGTGATTTGTACTTTCATATATGAAAACAACTGTTAATATTTTTGTTTCTTAACCACTATTAAGTACTTTTGACCTGTTCTACTTACTAGAACTTGTCTTGCTAAAGTAGCTAGTGCCATATTGAGTTTTCTTAATCTATGTAGTAATGACATCAGATACAGCTTCAGATGCAAGATCTGAATTCAGCACGATTCAATATTCACTAAGCACGTCCTCTTTGTAAGTCACTGGCTGTAGAGCCCAAAATTGCATTTTAGGGCATGATTTTAAATGTCTGCCATTATATATAGGTTTATCTAATTTTTTAGGTAACAGTAAATACAACTTTCACTTTGTGTTTTTATTCCCCAAAGTAAAAAACACATCAGCTACACTGTTACTTATTTATAGTACTCCATGTGCTCAAAATTGAATGCCTTGAAAATATTTAGAAGTGCAAGATAATCTTGGAATTTATAGCATCTTTATGTGAAAAATTAAATACATTCTAGTAACATTTTCTTTCTCATGGGTACAGAAATGTGAGGCAAAGGGAACAGTGCGATATGATGGGAACTCTAGGCTTTTTAGGGCAAAGGGACATGGTGAAGTGGTGGTGAGGTAGGTGAGAGAGCTAAAAGAAGGGAGCTGGAAAGTAAGCTGGATTCAAGTTGTAAATGGTCTTAAATTTTATAGGAACCTTAGGGGTTTTGCTATAAACAAATGGAAAGAGTAAATCATATTTTGAACAAGAAGATAATATCAAATATGTGAATCAGGAAGCAAACTGTAGCAATGCAGAGGTAAGTTAAAGAAGGAGAAAAAATTGGTTACAGGTTATTTCAATTGTCTAGATGAGAAGGGATAAAGACATGAACTAAGATGATGGGTGTTGGGGGGTGGTGTTGAGAAAGAGCACAGGTTGGAGAAGACAATGTAGAAGAAGACAAGGAAAGAAGATTATGTATAAGATGACTCTGGGCTTCCAGCTTAGATGATTCTTAGGTGACAGAGAAATCATTAAGAAAAATACTAAGAAATCAGGAGAAAGTATACAGAGTAGGGATGAAAAATGATTAGTCTGAAGTGTTAATGGGATTTGTGGAGATGAGTCAACTGTTGGAATTTTGGGTCTGCAATGACTTAGGAGTCATTTGTAGAAAGGTGAGAGTTGAAACCTTGGAAGTAGATACATCTGTCTTAGGAGTAATATTTAGTGAGAGAAGGAAGGCAAAGTTGAAGCCTCTGTATATCATAATCTAACAAAAGAATCTGTGTTAAAAAATATCAGAGAGAGGCAGGAAAGAGATGTTCCAGCAGACAAAAAAGGACAGCTTCAAGACACTTTAGTAACATTATTTGTCTAGAAAGATAAACAGGACAAGGACTGAGAAAATGCTATGGAGACTCCTGTGTTCACCAGCCTTGATTTCTATTCCTGCAGTACCAAAGCTGCTCTCTCAAAGGACAACACTGACTTCCCAGTTGTCAAATCATCTGGGTGCGGTGGCTCACGCCTATAATCCCAGCACTTTGGGAGGCCGAGGCAGGCGGATAACGAGGTCAGGAGTTCAACACCAGCCTGACCAATATGACCAAACTCCATCTCTACTAAAAAATACAAAAATTAGCTGTGCATGGTGGCACGGGAGGTGGAGGTTGCAGTAAGCCAAGATTGCACCACTGCACTCCCGCCTGGGCAACAGAGCAAAACTCCGTCTCAAAAAAAAAAAAAAAAAAAAAAAGAAAGAAAAGTTTGCTTAAATTTACCTTGAGCAGGGAAAAAAGGTGAGAAAAATCCAACACTTCTTACAGTTTTAAGGCAGTATAAAGATAGTCTAATATTTTGGGCTATAGAGAAGGAATCAACATGAGGAAAAGACTGAAGGTATTGTGTATTAGATGGGAGCAAATCTCAACCACAAAATATAGAGGGTGCATGAGAGCAACTTATAAAAGGTCTTTGAATGTTAGCTTCTTGAAATGGCTAATTTTTAAAAATAGACATTAAAGTACCTAGAAAAGGTGAAGATGTCAACTAGCTTAAGGTATTTTCTTAATAACATTTTGAAGGTATAAACCATCTGAAATAATCTGAATATGTTCCAAGAAAAAAGTGAATTTAAAAAAAAAATCCTATAAAATAGAAAAATGAGAAAGACTTTAACAACTAGTCTTGGAGGGGAAAATTCAGAGGATAATATAGATTAGCAGGGGAACGTCACAAGATGCCAATAACAATCTTAGAATGTCCACTTTGGTAAATAGAATCATTTCAAAGTGGTGAACTTCTTGGATGTATGTCTTAAACATAGTAAATGATGGTTATTAAAGTCCTTTAGTTATTAACTTTATGAATTATATCATATTCATTCCCTGACAGACAACAACAAATTCCTCAGGTTAAAGCAGGATAGGCAATTTAATAAAGCCTTCTCTGCCCCAAAGGCTCTCTTCTATGGCTCCAATGGAAACCACTAGGCTCTAGTCTGACCCTGGTATCTGACAGTTGAGAAAACTGTACTGAAGCCCTGGGAGACTTAACAGGTTTGCCCAGTATCACAGTGGGCTAGAAAAGAAACAAGGCCTTCTGATTAGTGCAGTGGTGCGATCTCGGCTCACTGCAACCTCCACCCCTGGGTTCAAGCATTCTCCTGCTTCAGCCTCACGAGTAGTTGGGATTACAGGCGTGTGCCGCCACACCTGGCTAATTTTCATATTTTAAGCAGAGATGGGGTTTCACCCTGTTGGCCAGGCTGGTCTTGAACTCCTGACTTCAGGTCATCTGCCTGCCTTGGCCTCCCAAAGTGTTGGGATTACAGGCGTAAGCCATGACTCTCAGCCCCTAGCATTCTTTCTGTAAGAACTCATTTCTCCAAAAGGAGGCAGCAGCAGATAAGATTCCATCCCTGGCCTCCTATGGGAGAGGTGAGCATAAAACCACTGAATCATCACAGCGAACACCTGAAGGAAATTTTTTTTCAACACAACCTGGGGAATTCATTTTTATGAACTGATCTAATATTCATTCAGGTTTAAGTGATTTTATGTTAGCTCAAAATTTCCCTTTAATTTCATAAAGTAGGTTACTCTTATGAGGAAGCAAATATTAGCAACTTTATTCCTTAATTTTTTGAGTGTTAACAAGTCCATACATGTTTAAAATCAAAACATGTTCAGACTTGAAGGCTGAAAATACATCGCAAGTGTTACAACAAAAAGTCATATATGAAAACTGAAAAGCAAAAGTTGCTTCGCAATTAGATTGATTTAAATTTTTGTTATAGTAAAAAACATAAATCTTTCAAAAGTGTATTTCATTTTAAAAAATAATGCTTCCATTATATTTATGAAGGAATATCAGAAAAAATTCTTACATATGGAGCACAGTGATAATATTTTAAAACCAGTATTTTCTTTCAAGTTTATAAAAAAAGTTTTAAATTATAAATTCTAATAACTCAATATATCCTCAAAGATGCAAGATGGATCCATTAAGTGTCCCCCAGTAATATCAGTGGTTATTCTAATTTTATTAGTAAGACACTGCTGCTAAACATAAAAACAGTAAGATGGAGTTAACTAAATGGAAAGTAAATATAACCAATGATACTAATCCTAACAAAATTATCTCTGCTACAATATTCTACACACTATATTTCTTAACTCTGGATTTAGTTTTTCCTCTTATCTCAATATTATTCTTTCAGAATTGGCCAACAGTTAACTAAAATTTTAAAGGGTGTAGTTAATACAAATATATGTAGTGGTTTTAGGCAAAATATTAAGTATTATGACTATTTTGCTTTGAATCAGAATAGCAATGACTTCTTCATTAGACTATGAATTACTGTAAAGCTAAAAGCGTAGAGAAATAGTTCAGCAAATGTCTGTAGAATTAAACTCATAAAATTGCTTATAATGGAAAACTATGGTCAGTTGCAGTGGCTCACGCCTGTAATTCTAGCACTCTGGGAGGTCGAGGCTGGTGGATCACTTGAGGTCAGGAGTTCGAAACCAGCCTGGCCAACACAATAAAACCCTGTCTCTACTAAAAATACAAAAATAGGCATGGCGGCAGGCACCTGTAATCCCAGCTACTTGGGAGGCTGTGGCAGGAGAATCACTCGAACCCGGAGGTGGAGGTTGCAGTTAGCAGAGATTGAGCCACTGCTCTCCACCCTAGGCGACACAGAGAGACTCAAAAGAAAAAAGAAAAAAAGAAAGAAAACTATTACTGTATCTTAAAATAGGATATACATATTTCACCTGTGTTGGAAGATTGAGATACACTTATGTAAGAAAATAGGCTAGTTGATCAGAAGTCTTTTTAGGTCTGCTTTCTCATGGAAAATGAACATAAATATAATCCTCTGTGCTTGAGTTAAATTATCAGTTTATTCCTTTTTATGGAGACAGTGCTCTGGAAGTAAGTTCATTGTCTTTCAAGGCATGTTGTCTGCTGAATACTCTGGCAGCCATGTTGAGAAGTATCTAAGAGAACTACTAACAACAATAACAAAAGCACAAAATACATCTGTAATGCACAGAACATTCTCAGAGTATCTTTTGAATATGGCAGTCAACCTGGTCTCTAGGTCTTACCAGTAGAACTGCAAAATCCCTCCCTAAATGGTTAAGTGAAATAAGCTTGTGAAATAATTGTTTTTTAAAAAGCATAATTTGATAAACACTTTTACCAGACTAAGAAAATGTTACCTAGTTCTTCTCTATAAAGATCCATATGCAGAAATAAAATAGCCGTGATTGAGAGCTTAACCAAGAGTGAAGTTAATTCGAAAAATTCTACCAAGTTTGAAAAGAGTGAATTTGAAAGCAAGGTTTAAAATTCAGTATTATTTCAGCTTTTAATTTACCAAAAGCAATTTTTAAAACTATCTTTGAACTCAACTGAGGTGTTTAAAAATCAGTTTTATTTGCAATTCCAAATCAAGTTTTTCTCTGTACTTAGAAACACACTACTGGCTAACTTATAATTAGGCAAACCTTCCATAAATGGGATAATTTCTTCTCATTTCTCCACATGAAATTTAACAAACAGAATGCTCTTCAAAAGTTACAAAAACTGGCATCTTAGGTCTGCCTCTAACTGGGAGAGATGCTTGAGTGTGGAATGATAGTGAACTGCAAGCTTGATCTGAGCCAGGAGTCCAGATCCTATGTTTCTCCATCTCACAAAACTTTTCCCCGCTTCTGATTTCCTCATTTCCCTCTCCTGCAAGGAAAAAGAAATTGAAAAAACAAGAGACAATGGAGTTCAGCAATGTGATGGGAAGAAATGCAAAGAAGAGGCCAGGCATGGTGGCTCACGCCTGTAATCCCAGCACTTTGGGAGGCCAAGCCAGGCAGATCACCTTAGGTCAGGAATTCAAGACCAGCCTGGCTAACATGGTAAAATCCCATCTCTATTAAAAATACAAAAATTAGCTGGGTGTGGTGGCATGCACCTGTAGTCCCAGCTACTTGACAGGCTGAGACAGGAGAATGCTTGAACCCAGGAGGCAGAGGTTGCAGTGAGCCTAGAATGCGCCACTGCACTCCAGCCTGGGCGACAGAGCGAGACACTGTCTTTAAAAAAAAAGGCAACGGAAAGAAGAGCCGAATCCACACAGCTGAAGGAAGACAGAGTTACAAAGACAGCTCTGGCATATCAGGACCTAATCTCTGGATCCATATACATTGCATAATATTTCAATCCACTTTTTCAAAAGGAAGAAAGAATCTAGCAGAGAACAGTCCAAAGATAAGACCAAACCTTGGGTTTCTTATCAAGGCTTTCTTCCAACCATTTCAACAGGTATGTGAAACTGGTGCTAGGTTCCTAAAAAGTCTTTATTTCTAATCTTTCCTTAATTTATAGGATGGTTTCAGGATGTCATCCATACCTCACAGATACTGGTAAGAGTCCTGAGTGCTGATGCAGAAATTTTTTTTATTGGTGGAGAAATGTAACAGCATTCTGGTTTATGTAGGCACTGTGGCAACCCTGGATAAATATAATGACAACTCTATGATACCCACTTGCAAATGCTATACAATAATGGTGTTTGAGAAGAGTCACTCTAATGTATTTCTGTTTGAAGGTCCATTTGCTGGAAAATACTTAATTTCTCTTCTATATTTTCCACACATGGCAAAATGCCTTGAACTCAGCAAGATTTGTTGAAATGATTGTTTCAACAATATAGAAAACTAGTACCTCTTGTATGTTCCTCATGGACACATGACTTTACAGATGCCTCTGCTTCTGACCTCCAAATTAGGCTGGCAGATGACTGGCTTTTACTAGATCTATCTAGAATCCCAAGGACATGGCGACCAATTGTTTCTTCAACAGCTGCTGTTGTCTTTACAACTTCTAAAAGGATCTTCAAAAGTCTGTTATTAGCTTTCTGGAGTGCATACCTGTATAGATAAAGAAGCATTGATTAAAATGTTTAATATTTTTGAAGCAAACACTTTGCTTATGTCCACTAAAAAGTACACTGCAAAATATTTGATTTGAAAAATAACAGATGATCCTCTTTGTTAAAATAATACCCAATAGCATCTACAATAAAGTGCGTCTTGTTTTTTATTTGTGACTATATTATAAAATGATTTGTTTTGTCTGAAAAATTTTGGCCAATCAGCTTAATCATGCCATTTTTCAAAATGTACAATATCTAATTGACTTGAAAAAAATAACTAAAGTCTTAAGCTAGTAACTAGGTTAAGAGAAAATTTTGGGAGACAAAATTTAAGTTTTAAAAAGTATGGCAGTGCCAAAGCATATGCAAGTTATTGAGCTTGCTGCTCATGGTTATACATATGTATTCTGTACATCTAATCTTTCTATATGTTAAACATAAAAACATATTTTAAAACAATTTCAAAATCACACCAGAAAAAATTATGTGGCAGTATTTGTACAAGTTAATGGTAATGAGCTGAATATTTAAATTACAAAAAGTAATACTTAGGCAGAGATCTGTTTTTAAAAAGGTCTGTAATGAAATTTCACTATCTGTCAACACCAGAGGGAGTATCACAGGCTGTTTTTATTACATCTGCTCCAGAGACAGAAATTTCTCAAGTTACACTCATCACTCATTTCAGTCAGTAGAAGAACCCTGTTTTCAACTAAATAGAATGAATTTGGTGTCTCTCTTTTTAAAAAGTAATCCTTATTTTAAAAAATCTGGAAAATACTGCAAACCACCCACCAAAAAACCTCAGCAATAACTATGACAATTTTAATACCTATATTTCTAGACTTTTCCTCCTGCCTCTTATAAATATATACATATTTTAAAAACAAAAATGAGATCATCCTGAACAAAGTGTTTTTGTACACTCTCTTTTTTGCTTAACATGAACATTCTACCATGTGAAGCAAGGTATTTCCATAAGTGGTGATTCAGAAGGTTGCCTGATTAATTTTCTTAAAAACTAAACAACTCTCTTGTCCTAGCAACTCAGTTCAACAAAGGCACACTTTATACATGCAGACTAAATAAAAGGTTTTCACGGTAAAGGTATTCTGCCTTAAGATAGTTTTATCTTTTAGCTTCACACTGTAGGAGATTGCCAACAATCAGGCTAAAGGATACCTGTTTTCACAGGCACATGACATATCTATTTTAAGACAAGATAATAAATGGAGAAGTTTTCCATTAGTATTTGTCAAGTGAAAGAGACAGTTCTATTTTTGCACCTAGATCAAGTTCTCTGCTTATATAATCAAGAATACTAAAAATAGGCCGGGCGCGGTGGCTCAAGCCTGTAATCCCAGCACTTTGGGAGGCCGAGACGGGCGGATCACGAGGTCAGGAGATCAAGACGCATCGCCTGGCTAACACGGTTGAGAACCCCCGTCTCTCTCACACCATACACAAAAAAACTTAGGCCGGCGAGGTGGACGGGCGCCTTAGTCCCCAGCTATATCGGGAGGCTGATGGCAGCGAGAATGGCGTGAACCCGCGCGAGGCCGGAGCTTCAGTGAGCTGAGATCCGGCCACGCCACTCCAGGCCTGGGCTGACAGACGAAACCGACGCCGTCTCAAAAACAAAAAAAAAAAAAAAAAAACAAAAATACTAAAATAAAACTAAATGAATTTAGTAAGAAGACACAAAGATATATAAAACACAATATGCATTTCTGAGGTTTTGTTTAAGCGCCGAACCCCAGGACTAGAATAATGTGAAAATATTTCTACTTAAATGATTAATATGATGGTTAAAAAAAAAATACTCATTTTATTGGCACTTACTGTAAAAATTCCTAAAAATTAAATACTGCATAGTTTTCAAAATTTACCAATTAGAGATAAAAAATATAAAATAAACAAAGTGTTTATTTTATATTGCCATGGTAACTCTAATTTTCATACACTGTCTTTCTTGTTTGAGTTCCATACTGACTGCGTTCCATACTGATGATCCAATGGGGAAGCCAAAATCTTAGGGGCCAAATTCCTCCATGCAAGCTGAGGAAGGTTAGGAGGACACAAGAGGGTTGACAGTCACAGAAATTGGAAAAGGAGGAAATTAAGTTAGTAAATACTGGTTTTAACTTAAAATTAAAGAAATTATTTTCATTTGAACAAAGTTTAAAATATTGTGCTTAAAGTCTTTAATACTAATGTAGGATAACTATTCTTACCTAATATTTTACATTTTTATATTAACCTCTACAAAATCAAAGTAAGGAAAAGTTTTGCTAACATCAGGTGATTAATTTATCCCTCTATAGGACTGGGATATGGATTAAAAGTTGTCATCTGTTACGTAGCAAATGCATGAAAGAAGTTTAGAATATTTACACTAACGGTAATTTTTTTCTCAGAATAAACAAGGCAGGGGATGGCTTACACTGAATACATGTCCATACAGTGAAAGAATACAGTTCACAAGTAGAACTGTGTTTTTAGGATACAAAATGGCATATAAGTATAAAATTAATCAAGAAAGTTTCAATATCCAAATACCTTAATATTAACAGTTAAGTATGTGATTAATATCCAATCAAAATTTTTTTTTTTTTTTTGAGACGGAGTCTCGCTCTGTCGCCCAGGCTGGAGTGCAGTGGCCGGATCTCAGCTCACTGCAAGCTCCGCCTCCCGGGTTTACGCCATTCTCCTGCCTCAGCCTCCCGAGTAGCTGGGACTACAGGCGCCCGCCACCTCGCCCGGCTAGTTTTTTGTATTTTTTAGTAGAGACGGGGTTTCACCGTGTTAGCCAGGATGGTCTCGATCTCCTGACCTCGTGATCCGCCCGTCTCGGCCTCCCAAAGTGCTGGGATTACAGGCTTGAGCCACCGCGCCCGGCCCAATCAAAATTTATATAGAAATGATTTTTTAAAAATTGTATCTATTTAATGATAAAAAACTGAAAATCCTTTACATACTACACATATATGGACATGTTTCATACACAGATAGTATGATGATTTTTAAGACAAAGTATCAATGTACAAGATAAAAATAAGGACAAAGTCTATTACATTGAAACAACCATTTTAATCTACTTTGCACTGAAAAAGTACACATTTTGTATACCTTTCATTAGACAAAATCTCAGGAGGCACATGTTCAGGTTTTCTGTCTAATTCCTTTTCTTTAAATGTCTGTTCTTCAGCTTCTCCTTGGTTTTCATTTCCATTCTGTTTAAATTTGAGTAGAGAGAGGAGAAGACAGAAAGAAAACCTGTCATCTTGGAAATAGCATGTCATTCTTCTATATGGGTATGAGATAAAATAGAAATCTCTGTGCACAAAATTGATACTGTTTGGTATAATATTTAACTATATTTGAGACTAGTGTCATCAAAAGAGAATAAAACATTCTCGTACATAAATAAAAAAGTTTAATGGGTTCAAATTATGCATGCTATAGTGCAACAATAAAGTTTGTTAGGTTCTCTTGTTAACAGCAATGTCAGATTCAAATTACCTTAAATGAAATATAAGGCATTTTGACTCCACCTACCTTACACGTATGCAGTCACAAATATGTTAAGCTCAGTACCTATAAAAGAGTACACCTCATACCAACAACAAAGATAAACAAATCCTACTGAATTGTTGATCCATTGCTCCTAGGTGGGCCAAAGTCCATACTACCTGTGTTTGCGTACTGCTGTTGCGCAGCTCACAACACAGCTTCTCTCTTCCAGCTAAAGACAGCTGCTTTAGTGCTTCCAGCTCCTCTAAAAGCACCCTCTCTCTCTCTGAAACCAGGTTTTCATTATCTATGGAGGATCTCTAAATAAGAAAAAAGGTCATGAGAGAATATTGTTTGCGACAGAGAAAAAGGGTAGAAATATTAAGCAGATTTCTTTTAACCCCCGGGACCAACAGGTCCTGGTTCTACTTCTGATTCGTATTCCATCATAAGGGGTTAAAAGTATATACAAAGATCAATGCAAAATTTAAAATATTTTTAAAAAGCCAATTAAGCCTAAATATTCAGGAATTCGTGCAGTTCACTTAGTTTTTGTCAATTTTGCATTGAAAATTAAGAAGTCTGAATTCACAAAATGCAATGAAGAAAAGCAAAGTTAATTTTCCAAATTATGTTTTATGCTCAGCTCCCAATTTTCCTATTATTTTATATTTGAAAGAATACATGTTAATAGTTATCTCTAGTTATTTCTTATCTCCTTTTTAGCTTCAGTTTTCAAAATTAAATTCAATAAATCTGTTTTCATAAGAACTTCTACATAAATATCTCTTGCTTTTCTGCAATGATTTTGTGAGTATATTTTATATAGCAGTTGACAAGAATCCAGCTCCCAAATACCAAGAAGTATTTAAATTTAGTCAAGAAAGGGATAAGAATGTTAAATAAATTTGCATTTCTCAAATCAAGAAGAGATGTTTCCCTGGAAAGAGTTCCAGAAGCATACTACTTCCGATTTCCATTCATGATTAAAAAGATGGATTAAAGACAGATAAAGGTAAAACTTCGAGATGCTAATTGGTGGACTCACAAAATTATAAATGAATATAGTAAAACTGAACGATAGTAACTGCATAATGGAGCACCTCAGCACAATGTTATTTCCAAAATGTCAAACTGCGTTTGCTATATATGGTTAATAGATTTAAAAAAAAAAACCCAACAACCGTGTAGCCACTTTTCCAGTGCTTGAAAAAGGAGTTAAATAAAATGACAGAAAGACAATGCCCACTCCAAGGTTGACAGAGGTGTCCCTAACAAGATCTAAAGCTGCTGTGTTAGTATAGAGTATGTTCCTGATGCTAAATATATGTAGTTTATTCAGATTTTGGCAAAAAAAAATTATGGCTACATAAAAAATACTGTTGTTTTTACTGGGGATCTGGTTCAAGTTGGTGCTTGGAAAAAAAAAATTGGGGAGAGAATAGGGACTACCAGACCCTTACCTGGGCTAATTGTTTATTAAGTCTCTTAATCTCTTCTTGTAGCTGTTCCTGGTCTTCTCGCTGTCTCTCCATTTGTCGCATATGTGCCTGCCTTAACAATTCTGTTGCCTGTTGATGTTCTTGGTATTGTCGTACAAGTTCCTGCCTCATATCTTCCAATTGTTCTTCATTCAACATTAGTTGTCTAGAAGCATCCATGCTTGACACCGAAATCTCATCATGAATCTTCAAGAGTAAAGAAAAAAAAAAAATTCAGCCATAACACATTTTGTAAAAATCTGTCAGCATTAATATTTTAAACAAATATGAAAGCAATTCTATTACTTATGCCATAAAGCGTGTGATTTTATTATTAAACAAAAACATACTTTTAAAAATGGTGTTTTTCTTCATTACAATTCCAATACAACATAAAGCTACTTTATTATCATTACATATATTATTTTCCAAAAGCAAAACAATTATTTATCAATTAGTTTAGACTTAATCTAATTCTAATAGAAAACAAAAAGAACTAAGATACTTAAGATTCCTTCTACCCTTAATGAAGCTATAATGCCATTATTCCTCTTGACATTTTATGATGGGTAAATAATATCAATGGAATATTTATATTTTAAAATTAAATGTATGAAACATGAGAAACTATCCATTTAATTTACACAATGGTTATCACAGTACTACAGAGAACTACTGATAAAAAATAATTTTCAATACATTTTATTTGAAAATAAAAGCTTTACATTCCAGAGTCTCACGCTCATAAGAAGTCAATTCCTTAATACATTCTATGAGTACATCATTTCCTGGAGAGATGTTACTTAAATCATTTTGCTTTGAATAGTTGATGGTAAATTAAAGAGGTCTTCAAGAACACCTAACAAGTTTCGCATTCCACAAAGAGATGGTAATTTTATTTTATTTATTTATTTTTGAGACGGAGTCTTGGTGTCACCCAGGCTGCAGTGCAGTGGCACCATCTTGGCTACTACAATCTACACCTCCCCAGTTCAAGTGATTCCTCTGCCTCAGCCTCCCAAATAGCTGGGATTACAGGCATGCACTGCCATGCCCAGCTAATTTTTTGCATTTTTAGTAGAAATGGGGTTTTACCATGTTGGCTAGGCTGGTCTCGAACTCCTGACCTCAAGTGATCCACCTGCCTCAGCCTCCCAAAGTGCTCGGATTACAGGCATGAGCCACCACACTTGGCCTGGAGTTGGCAATTTACTTGAATATTAGTCTGAACAAAACATAACCTATCCTGAATATTAATTAAAAAATTTAATTCAGATGTTAAAAGAAGTAGGATTTATTACTTTCTATTAAACAGTTGAGGTATAGACACAGAACAGATCTTCTATTAATAAATAAGTAAAGAAATCAATAGTTAGGATATAGATAGTAAAATCTTTTAGTCATCCTAAACAGGTAGCTATTTCCTTGTAATGTTGTTATATTTAATTAAGCAAATCTTTTATTCACAGATATTACCAAATTGTAGTACAATTAATCTTGAATTGGTTGAAACAGAATTAATGTGCATACAACTTACAATGGGATTTTACCAGGTACGACGTCTTTAAGATAAACAAGAATATTATGAACCAGACTTGTTTTATTTGATACTAATATTAAGTCACTTATCCATATATCTTACAATTAATAAAATACATTAACAGTGTGAATCGGCCGGGCACGGTGGCTCATGCCTGTAATCCCAGCACTTTGGGAGGCCGAGGAGGGTGGATCACAAGGTCAAGAGATTGAGACCATCCTGGCCAACGTGGTAAATCCTGTCTCTACTAAAAATACAAAAATTAGCTGGATGTGGTGGCACGCGCCTGTAGTCCTAATTACTCAGGAGGCTGAGGCAGAAGAATCCCTTGAACCTGGGAGGCGGAGGTTGCAGTGAGCCGAGATGGTGCTACTGCACTCCACCCTGGCGACAGAGTGAGACTCCGCCTCAAAAACAAAACAAAACAAAACAACAATGTGAGTCATAAGACTGAGTTTGATATTTTCCTCCTCCAAATATTATGCAGCATGATTGCTAATATTTTCATAGTGAAGGAATTCACAATTTTTAAATAAGTTTTTTATGTTCAAGGAGGCATACTTACAGACTGACTGACTATAAATGTCTTATCTTTGGAGAACATTTCTTCTGAAATAGTCAGTACACAGTCCTTTGATTCTCGTATATCATCGGGATCATTATTTGATAATAAAATTTCCTTTCCATGTTCTCCTAACTCTTTACTAAGTGGTTTAAATTCTTCTTTAAATTTCACATCCACTGTCTCAGAAGTCTGAAAACCAGTTTGATCCTGTGATAATTTCATTTCATTAAAATAATGCTGTTTTTCTTGCTGACACACAGCATGTGCTTGCTTTGATGATGTAGTATTTTCTTTTCCCCCAGATATTCTAGACAGTTCAGTTTGTTGAGCAAATGCTATACTCATTGACACAATAACCTAAAGAAATAAAAGCAAACAATAAAGGATTTAGAAATATCAGCAGGAATTTAAAAAGCAAGTTACTACTCAAAATTGTATGAACAGAAAAAAGCATGGCCTCACGGTTCTAAACAAAAAGAAATCCTATAATAAAGTAATACTGAGATAGATTCTCTATTTTACAATAAATCTAATGTCAAAGTATTTATTTTACTGCCTGCCATTTTAAATAAAAAGTAAAATGTTTTCTTACTATAACAGCCATAAATTTTCAGTAAAAATTAGAAAATAAAAGCCCTTATATTTCTCTCTTCCAAGAAAAATCACTGTAAACATTTTAGTAAATACTTTCCCAAATCTTCTTATTCTTCTTTACAGAGATAGATATGAATAGATACAGATATCATTTTCCTATAAAAATGTGATCATATTCTAATACTGTAACCAGTTTTTATAGCTTGACTATAGTAAATATATCTTCAAGTTAAGAAATAGAAATACATTTCTATATAATTTCTGATGGGTTCAAAGTTTCATATTACATACATGTAGTATAAGTTTATTAAATCAATTCTCTATGTTGGACATTTAGAGTGATTCCACTCCTTTACTATTTTAAACACCAATGTGATGAAATATTTGTAATTATATAATTGTGCATATATTTTATTTCCTCAAAACAAATTCCCAGAAGCGGAACACTTAGTTTGTATGACTAGTAAATATGAGTAGACATTTCATTATAATCCAACTTGACTTTTCACTACCACTATGATCCTGAATCCCTGCTTATTCTAGCCTCCCATCCCACCCCATGACAGGTACTTAGGAATTCTGACTAGCAGTTTTGGCTCTGACAAGTCCCTACACCTTTGAGAACCAACTGTATCAATAACTTTATGTCCTTTTTCCACAGATAATTTGTAATGAAGGAAGGCTGGTTGTAATAAACCCAGAATAAAGTATGCCTGAGATTGGAAATATTTGTACTTACAGACCTGCAGCCTTCTTTGTTTTCCTTGCTGGTCCAGGAAATATAACTGAACTTTTGTTTTAATTTCCTGTCTTGAATCTTATTCACCTATGTGGGGTCCTGATTCCCACCTGGTTCCTGTGCTAGCCTCCTTTGGAGTAATTTGACTCAAAAACACAAAGCAAATAAATCATTAAAGCTGGGGTTCAAAATCCTATAGTCTTGCCTAAGCTAACTTTCCAAAAGGTAACATTATACTATTCCACATCTAAATGAGTCTGTCTAGAAGTATAATGCACAACTGACTTAAGAGGAATAATTATAATACCAGTAGCCAATGCAGAGAAAATGCAAGTGCTGCAACATTAGGAATGACATCACATATTTAATAAATGTTAGGGCAGAAATTTGAATCAAAATGTGTCTATACAGAGCTCAAGCACCTTACTACATATCATCCTGCTTCTTCCCAGATAATCCTGCTACTATATCTCACGTACCAAATGGGATCTCTGGGTGGTGCCTATGCTAGCTCAGAAAGAACCAGGGTTTGGTAACAACAATGTCATCTGGAACACATACCCATTACAGCAAAATGTCAAAAGACAAAGATAATTAAAAATAATTAACTAGATCATACAACTTAACAAAACATATCTTTAGCCTTCTGTAACTAGTGATCAAAATCTTATGACTGCGTTTTGTTTTAATTTCCTGTCTTGAACCTGATTTGCCTCTGTCTCTTCATACTGAATATATTGAAAATGTAACATGGAAAAAAAAGATTAAAAATATGAAAGAGAACAGAGATATGAAGGATAGAGAATGGTCAATCAACATCTAATTAGAGTTCCAGGTAGATATAATAGAGAACAATGGAAATGAACTATTTCACGAGACAATGGCTGAGAATATTTACAGAAGACACCACTGCCAAGATTCAAGATGATCAATGAATTACAATAAAAACAAATACCTCATCTCTACAAAAACATCTGTAGCTGGGTGTGGTGAGCTACTCCAGGGACTAAGGTGAGAGGATTGCGTGAGCTCAGGAGTGCAAGGCTATAGTGAGCTATGATCACACCACTGCACTCCAGCCTTGCTGACAGAACCCATCTCTTAAAAAAATGAAAAAGGAAAAAAGAGAACACCAAAATCAAAAAGATCTTAAATGTTTCCAAAGAAAAAAAGATGTATTAACCACATGGGAACAACAAAGCAACAAGGACCTTGTCGGCAGAAACAAGAAATCAGAAAACACTGGAAGTTACTTTCAAAGTTCTGGCATAAAAATAAATGTTAACCAGGTTCAAATAGTCAACAAAACAAACTTTTATGGATAAAAACAAAATAAAGAAATAAAATAAAGACAACTAAAAAACATAGCTTACTCCTAACAGATAATCAGTAAAAAAAAAAACTTCTAAAACATTTTCTTCAAAAAGAAATAAGATTCTAAAACGATGGCCTAAGATGCAAAAAGGATTAGAGCATAAACAACCTTCTTAAAAAAATATGTGGGTGGCCGGGCACAGTGGCTCAAGCCTGTAATCCCAGCACTTTGGGAGGCCGAGATAGGCAGATCATGAGGTCAGGAGATCAAGACCATCCTGGCTAACATGGTGAAACCTCGTCTCTACTAAAAAAAAAAAAAAAATACAAAAAACTAGCTGGGCGAGGTGGCGGGCGCCTGTAGTCCCAGCTACTCGGGAGGCTGAGGCAGGAGAATGGCGTAAACCCGGGAGGCCGAGCTTGCAGTGAGCTGAGATCTGGTCACTGCACTCCAGCCTGGGCTACAGAGCGAGACTCTGTCTCCAAAAAAAAAAAAAAAAAATATGTGGGTAAATTGAAATACTGATGCTACAAGGCAATAATTGCATCTGAATTATGGAATAAGAAAACACAAAGACTGTGCTTCTGGGCAACATAAAATAAGCCCACTACGGCCTGCTTCTCCCACTGATTACCTAAAGACTCTGAGCAAAATACAAAACAGCTGAAGAATTCTGAAGAGTAAACAGTGGCTAGGAGACTGCAGAGGGAAGTCAACACTTAGGTGATTTGTATGGGAAAGATGAAACAGGAGTTTTAGTCTGAACCTAACTAGGTGGACTGCCTATTTAAAAAAAAAAATTCACATTCTTCAAAGAATTATAATGACATCCAGAGCACATAAAACATAAAATATAAAACATTTAATGTACAATTCAAAATTAGGCAACATAAAATTCGTTGTATGTTGAACTCATTGTCAGCACACCTGCTCTAAAATAAATGCTAAGGGAAGGTTTTCAGGCTAAAGAAAAATGGCACCAGAGGGAAATCTGAAATTTAAATAACAGCAGAACACATACTCTTCTCAAGTACACATGGAGCATTCACCCAGAAAAGTCCACATTTTAGGCATCAAATTTAAAAGAACTGAAATTATATGAGGCATTTTGCCAGACCACAAAGAAACTTAAAAATTAATCAATCAACCATGGGAAGCTATCTAAAAATCACAAAAATGTGAAAATCAGTGCATTTCTAAATAACCCATGAATCAAAGAGGAAGTCACAGGGGAAATAACATATTTGGATTGAATGAAAATTTGCAGAGTGCAGCTTTAAACGTTGCTTATAAGGAAACATTGCTATACTTACAAGCTATAATGTTTAAAGGTATAACGCTATGCTTTCGAGTATAGCATTAAATGCACACATTAGAAAAGAAGAAATTCCCTTTAGAAAAGCAGAAGAAGAGCAAATTAAATCCAAAGCAAGCAGAAAAAGGGTATCAAAAAGATATGGGTAGCATTTGAAAATAAAAACAAAACCAATAAAAACAACAAGGAAACAAAAAGCTGAATCCTTAATATACTAATACAATCAATAAACCTCTAACCAACCTGACAAAAAGGTGAGAAATAGGGATAACACTACAGATTCCACAGACATTAAATAATAAAAGAATACTACAGGCGGGGCATGGTGGCTAACACACATGATCCCAGTACTTTGGGAGGCCGAGGTAGGTGGATCACTTGAGGTCAGGAGTTAGAGCCAACATGGTGTAACCTCGTCTCCACTGAAGAAAAAAAAACAACCTACAAAAATTAGCTGGGTGTGGTGGTGCATGCCTGTAATGCCAGCTACTTGAGAGGCTGAGGCAGGAGAATCACTTGAATCCAGAGGCAGAGGTTGTAGTGAGCCGAAATTGTGCTACTGCACCCCAGCCTGGGCGACAAGAGCGAAACTCCATCTCAAAAAAAAAAAAAAAAAAAAAAAAAAAAGAATACTACAATACAACTTTACCTATATAAATTCAACAGCTTAAAGGAAATGGACCAATTCTTTGAGTGATACAAACTACCAACACTCATTCAAAAATAAATAGATAACTAACATAAAACTAAATCTATTAGATAAACTGGATTCATAGCTTAAACACGTATTTCAACAAAGAAAACTCCAGGCCCAGTAGCATTCACCAGCATATCTAAAATATATTTAAGGATGAAATAATACCAATTCTATGTAAATTACTCCAGAAAATAAAAGAGGCAATATATTTCAACATTGTATGGAGGCCAGCATTATTCTGATATGAAAACCAAGACATTACAAGAAAACCAAACTTGAAATAATATTTCTCATGAACACAGACATAAGTATCTTTGCCACAATATTAGCAAACAGAATCTAGCAACGTATAAAGGGAGGGGTGAGAAAACTTCTAGGGATGACTGAAATGTTTTATACCTTGACTGTGGTATTAGTTTCCCAAATTTTTTTTTTTTTTTTTTTTTGAGATGGAGTCTCGCTCTGTCGCCCAGGCTGGAGTGCAGTGGCCGGATCTCAGCTCACTGCAAGCTCCGCCTCCCGGGTTTACACCATTCTCCTGCCTCAGCCTCCCGAGTAGCTGGGACTACAGGCGCCCGCCACCTCGCCCGGCTAGTTTTTTGTATTTTTCTGGTAGAGACGGGGTTTCACCGGGTTAGCCAGGATGGTCTCGATCTCCTGACCTCGTGATCCGCCTGTCTCGGCCTCCCAAAGTGCT